CCCTTAGGGCTGAGTGATTGGTTGTGTGTTTATAGGTGGCTTGCTCAGCTCAGTGATATCTGCCCTCTTCTCTATCTTGCTTACTTTGCTCTGAGTTGTACTCCTGGTAGTTGTACTCAGACTCCATTGTTCCTGTTTGAAATCTGTGGCTACTGTCACCAGCATCGAGTTTTTTGTATTTAAATTTCATACTGAATTCCTGCATTGAGATAGTTGAAATGGCTATCCCAGCCCTTATCAACTAGAGTGGCAGGCTTCTTCAGAGTAACTTACACTTTTCTGCTTCTTTATGGGGACGGCACGTTTCAAAGGGAGAAGGTAGCTGCAAGGCCCAGTCCAGTCTGCCTTGTTCGTAACACATGAACTGTGTGCACATGTGTGTACACACGTGTATGTGTGTGTACACACAGGCTGTACCACTAAATCCCAAGCAATCATGAGACTACTAGGATAAGGACTCTATTATCTGATCCGATTGGGTCCTACACACAAGACAGTTACACAGTCTTGGCAATTGAAAGCCATTATTGTTCATTGAAGGTAGCCCAGTGCCAGGGTTAGGTCAGCATTATGACAGCTCTCGAGGCAAAACCATTTTACTGGCAACCACTATACGGTGTATGCCCAAGCCTCTGCTCCATTGGTGACCTCTTGCCTGGAGGTGCCCAACTCCGCACCATGGGCCGACACTGCATACTGCTGCCATCTGCCTCATGGGCCAACTCTGCCCACCATCACCGTCTGCTGGTCTTGTGGTTCCTGCCACTTGCACTGCTGCCGCCATTTCTCTGGTGCTCAGTTCTGCCGTGCTTGCTGCTGTTTCTCTTGGTTTTCAGTGTTACTGGCTCAGTGTTATAGCCCTTGACCTATATTACAGCTCTTCTAGGAGGTTCTTGGGTGTCCAAAGGACATACTGCCCTCCTGGCTGTTGTTGATCAGGAAGCCCCATCTGAGCCTCCACATTCTAGGGTTTTTATCAGTCACTGGGGGGGCCCTGGTAAAGGTCAATTACTGGGCAGCACCCGCCCCCGCCCAAGCCAGTCGGTGTAAGGTAGATCGTAAACTGATCAGTCCTTGCAAGGTGCTCATGTGGACAGCAAATCACTAACCCCTTGGAAGCTGCTTATATGGATAGAAACCGACCAATCCCTTAGCAGACTGTGGTCTGACCAATCATTTTGGGAGGATTACAAACCCAGGGCTAGAAAGGCCACATAAAAGAAACCCATTGCACCACAACATGTAATAGTAGAATTAGCATATAGTTCTCAGCCATCTGTCAAGTCTTTCCCCCAAGTTCTTTTCCACCTGTTTCTCTTCCCATCCTTTACTCTGTTTTTCCTAGGAGAGACAGCCTGTTCTAATAGAAAGAACATACGCCTTAAAAGACCTGTACTGCGTTTCTGGTGCTCTTTTTTTTTTTTTTTTAGCTTTGTCACCTGCATCACTTGATTTCACCCTTCCCACCCACCACCTCCTCATTTATAAAATGAAGTTGAGGATATATGTTGTGCAGTGGTGCTGTAAGGATTAGAGATTGTTTATAAAGTCCCTGCCACAGAGTAGGTCCTTATAAAGCAAGAACTCTTTTTTTATTTCCCTTAAATCCACTGATATGATTTAATTTGGCAAATATTTATTAGCATCTAATCTGTGCTACACTCTGCTGAGGATGCTGTTGAGGTTTAAAAACAAACAAACAGACAACAAAAAACTCAGACTCTCTGAATTCAGAAAGTTGCATGGTGTAGCAGGGAGACTGACATACAAAAACAGAATGACAATAGAAATGTGGTAAGTGCAATAAAGGTATATATAAATGCTAGAAGCAATTAATTCTTTTTCCAGTCCTGTCTGTGAAGTGGTTTCTAAGTATTTCTTTTGGAAGAATACTTGGTCGTCAAAGTGGAGGACAAATAGAGAAGGGTGTGGGGGGTAGGGACAGACTCTTAAAGTATTCTGTTATCTGTAAGGTGCCAACTTTCTAAGAATTGATTTTGGTAAGGCACTTGATAAAATCTCTATCATGAAGTCCTTGTACATAAGATGGAGAAATGTGGGCTGGCTGATAGAATAGGAGGTAGATTTGAAGCTGGTTACACAGCTACGTCCAGGATGTTGTTCTCCTGCAGTACTTTATATTTACTTATAAAATCTCTGGGTTTGAAGGAAACTTAGAAATAGATCATCTATTCTAACCTGTGCCTAAGATCTCTCTATAATCTAGTCTTTTTTAATTCTACAGTATAGAAAAGTATACAGTGAAAAATCCATCTCCCTCCTATTCCAGTCAAGTCTCCCTGTCATCTTCCCCAGAGACAACCACTATAATTAGTTGTTTGTGTGTATGATCTTGTTTTATAATGCTTGTGTCTTAACACCTTGTGTTACAGTGATTTGAGTGTGTGTGTTATCTCCCTTACTAATCTTTTTCAAAGCAAGGACCCTGCCTCACATTTTCCTATATCTCCCCAAATAACGTGCACATTGATGATTCTCAATAAATATTTGCTTGATTAATTATTTAAGGAGACTTGGATAGGGAGAGGAGGACAGGCTTCTCTGGGAATATGCCACAGTTTTCTGTCTTGGCTGTATCCTTTATAACCATTTTCCCCAGTGACTTGGATGAAGATGTAGAAAGCATGCTTGTCATATATGCAGATGACACAGAGCTGGAAAAGAGAGCTAATAACATCAGATGACAGAATCAAGATTGTAAATGATCTCAGCAGACCAAAATGTTCAGCCAAAAAGAACAGAGACAAATATAAAGTCCTGTGTTTAAGGAGCAGGGGAAACAGGAAGGGGGGCGGAATCCACCAACTTAGTTACCCAAGTATAGAGTTAGGGAGACCTGTCTTGATAACAGAGCACTGGTGGCACAGTGGTTAAGCGCTCAGATGCTAACCAGAAGGTTGGTGGTTTGAACCCACCAGCTGCTTCGCAAGAGAAAGATGTGGCAGTCTGATTGCATAAAGATTTACAGCCTTGGAAACCCTGTGGGGCAGTTGTACTCTGTCCCATAGGGTCCCTATGAGTTGGAATCAACTTGATGGCAGTGGATTTGGTTTGAGCTTGATAACGGTTCATCTGAAGATGATCTGGTAGGGGAAGAGATGGATCCTAATTGACTTTAAGCTCAGATTAAGCTAACAGTATGCCAAGATTGTCAATGAAGCGAGCACAGTTTTGGCTAATTAGTAGAGTATGAGTCCAGATGGGGTAGCTGGTGGCTCTTCTGTTGAAGACTGCTTGTTGAGTGTTGGGTTCAGTCTGGGTTGGCACACATACATAAAGAGACTGACAAATTGAAGTGTGCCCTGAGGAAGTTTACTAGGAAGGTAAAACATAGGAATTAGACCAGGTTTTATCCTGGATTCTACTACTTAACCAGTTGTGATAGCTTGTGAAGTCAATCCTTCTGAGTTTAACATGGGGGCGAAGTAGTAATATCAATCTGCAGGACCATTGTAAGGATTAGAGGTAACTTAGGCACTCAAAGCATTCTGCAGTCCATCTTATTAGGGATTGCCTAAATGACTAGATATAGTCCCTCTTTTGAAGGAGTTTACCTTTTAGTGGGGCAGGCAACTGAGTAAATCCAAGATTGTCATAATACAGTTTGTTAAGTGTTCAAAGAGCTGACTTGTGGAAAAGGGAGTAAATTTATCCATATTGCCCTTAGTAAATGCAGATTAAAAAACCCTGGTGGTGCAGTGGTTAAACACTCACTGCTAACTGAAAGATTGGTGGTTTGGATGTGGCACTCTCCTTCTGAAAAAATTGCAGCCTTGGAAACCCTATGGAGCAGTTCTACTGTGTCCTGTGTAGGGGTTGCTATGAGTTGGAGACTATCAGCAAAGGTTTTTGTTTGTTTTTTAAATGCAGATTGAGCCAGATTCTTGTTTAGCAATAGAATGGGTCTCCCTCAGAGGATGTGGATTCACCTGAGTGAAAGGATATCGTTAAGTTAAACTGTACAATTACTTGTCAGGTTGCTTATGAGAGGCATTTCTTTATGAGTAGGATAGAAGGGTAGGCAAACTACAGCCAGCCACAGGCCAAATCCAAACCAACACGTTTTTGTAAATAAAATTTTATTGGAACACATCTATACCGATTTGTTTATGTATTGTCTGTGGCTGCTTTCCTGCTACAATGCAGAAGTGGCAGAGACCCACATGGCCTGCCAAGCCTAAAGTATTTATTATCAGGCCCTTTATCTGACCCCTGGACTAGATAAATGCTTCTGTGAACTGGGAACCTTTCTAAATTATCTGTGATGGGGATTTCAAGTGTAAGAGGGAGGAAAGCAGGATTTGAAGTGAGTCACAGGGTTTGAATTGGTCACAATACTTTTGTTAGTGCAAGGAATGGAGACTGGGAAGCATTTGATTAAATGACCTCCAAGCCCCTTTAAGAGTATGTGTTTTATAAACAGACACCTTTTCATGTGAGACAAAGTATTTATATCTTACCTGGGCTAAAGCCATCTGTAGCCACTAGAATTAGGAGGTAGCCCTAGTATTGTGGAAAGACTGGTTGTATTAACCCTTCCAAGACACAGTGTCCTCACTTGTAAATGGAGCACTTTGTAAGATTTTGTAAAGATTAGAGCTAATGTAGGCCCTCAGGTGTAGTTATCATTACTGTATTCACAGATACCTCATTAGAGAGTGTGTCACAGAGACAGACTTTTGGTAGGAAAGTGTAAATCGCTCCTTTTTATCCTGCATGTTGTAGTAATACACAAAAACTTTCATTGGTGTTAACTAGATCTTTAGATCTCTTGGTTTAGGAAATAAGAGGGAAGGGAAATATCTTGTGGCTGGCAGTTTCAGTATACATGTTAAAGATGCTATTCTCTATACATACAGTGCACTTTTGCCAGTGGAGTAGGATTTTAAACTTTGCTTCCTCCTATACGTTTTGTCTTCTATATTCAGAGTCTACTGCCAGCTAACAGTTTTTTTCTTTTTTTATTGTTGTTGTTGAAGTATTGACTCGGAGACAAAAAGAGGCCAAGAGCAAGAGCAAGAGTGACACTGGGACAGCTGCCCAGACGTCTCTAGACATTGACAAGTAAGTAGGTATGCTGCATACATGGGGCTCTTGTCTCACATCCAGTTGCTTGGATGGGACAAAGAGACCAATTCCTGTCTTACCCTGTGTTTCTTTGGCCTGCCAATCACTTCATTGCTTGGATGCCTGAATTTCTTTTTCTTGTCAGTGTAGATGACCTCTGTATCCCTTCTCAGTACCCTAAAAAAAAAAAAAAAAAAAAAAACTGCCACCCACCCACTCCACTTCTGCATTGTTCTTAGGTTTCTGTTTTCTTTGAGTTTGCACTGATGTTTGGTGCTTTTGGGAAGCAGTGAGCTATTTTGCTGTGTATTGGTACAGTAGTTGCGAAGCAAAAGGTTGGGCAAACTGGAGGATATAGAAGACTTCCTTGGGTTGTGGGTTATAGCTTTAAGAGAGCACATTCTAAGGGAGGAGTTGGGTTGAAGTGCTGTCTTCCAAAAGTAAAGACATTACCAGCAGCAATACAATAGAGCAGTTGATCACTAGGCAGAAACATTTATTTTTGAATCTTAGACCCTAAATTTTAGGGCTGCCTTTCCTAATCCAGAGGAACCCTGGTGGCACAGTGGGCTAGAGCTCAGCTGCAAACCAAAAGATTGGCAGTTCAAATCTACCAGCTGCTTTTTGGAAACCCTATGGGGCAGTTCTACTCTGTGGAGCCCTGGTGGTGCAGTGGTTAAGCATTCGGCTGTTTGAATCCACCAGTTCGAATCCACCAGCCACTCCTTGGAAACCCTATGGGGCAGTTCTGCTCTGTCCTGTAGGGTTGCTATGAGTTAGAATCCACTGACCAGCAACATGTTTGGTTTTTGTTTTTTTTTCCCCAGTCCAGTTGAGCAGAGCTGATCACTTGCCCCTTGGGAATCCTTCTGTAATGTGGACATTAGTCTAGCACTGAATTCATCACATTGTATTGTTGTAACTTTTTTTTTTTTTGTGACATTTCTGTCTCCATGGCTAGACTGAGTTATTTGAAGGCAGATGCTTGCCTTCGTTCATGTTTGTATCCCCAGCATCTTATAAAATGTATCTGAGACAGCAATAATAATAATACCTGTTTGCTGAGTGCCGAATATTATGTGTGAGGCACTGTGTGCTAGGTGTTTTATTTATCTGTAACTCTCCCAATAGTTGGTAAGGTAGTTACTCTTTATTTTATTTAAATAGATAAAGAAACTGAAGAGAAATTATAAGTAACTGGTTATGATCATATGGGCAGAATTGGCAAAGCCTACCTGACTTCAGAACATTTGCTCTTTCCACAGAGCTGCTGCTTCATGTAATAAAAAACAAAAACAAAAACCAAACCAAAACCGTTGCCACTGAGTCGATTCCGACTCATAGCGACCCTGTAGGACAGAGTAGAATTGCCCTATAGGGTTTCCAAGGAGTGGCTGGTGGACCATCCACCTCATGTAACAGGGGATTAATAAATGTTTTTTGCATTAGTTGATATACCTTGAAAAGTACACTAGTCTAGCTTTTCTCTTAAGGCCAGGTTTTACTTGCATTCTTCCATGTAAGTATTTGAGAGACTTATTTTTCCTGTTTAAAGATCTTCAGAGAAGTTCTTCCTTAGAGCTAATCCAAGTATCTCTTACTGTAGTTATTGACTAGTAGTAATGGCCAGAAAGAAATCTAGGATGTTATGCTTTGGAAAGTTTGTTTGCTTGTTTATTAGTTTGTTTTTAGCATCTTAAAACTAAAATGATCACATGAGTCCGACAGACGCTAGGGTTTGATGATTATTAGCTATATGACCTTGGGGAGAATGGTTCCTTCCTAATAGGGCTGAAGAATTAATTGAGAAATTGTAGGGCCTTTTATAGGGCCTTATGCTCATTCTCAGCACAGAGAAAATGTTTAATAAATGTTCATTTTCTTCTTTCCCCCCAAAGAATTCCATATTCATTTGATACCCAAATAAACCATACCTCATGGACACTATCACTTTCCTCTCCCAAAGCTCTACTTCCTGATAGCTGCTGGACTGTTATAAAAAGATAAAAATAATTGTGTATATGAAATTATGCAGTATCCTCTGGCAGAATCACATGGTTTTTATAATTTCCTAGTTGATGTTGCAGGTTGTAGAATTAAGGAAGTCAGCATATAGACAGACTTGGTTTACTAATCAGACAAGTTCATCCACCCTGGAAAAAATGTCATCTTGATTTAATGCTCTTGGTGTTCCCTTTTCTGTCGAAATCTTAACTTCCCTTTGAAAAAAACTATTACACTTAATTTCTGAAGAGTTTGACAGAATATGTTATGTCTGAAGAGCAATCAGCATTGTCTGAGATAGTTAGAAGGGCTGATTTCATTATCGTCCCACTGCTGCAACAGCAGGGTGCAGAGAAACAGCCAGGAAAAACCACTCATCACTCAGTCCTTTTGATTGGCGTGGGGTTAGTTTTATTGGTGATCCCGCTGAGCAATCTGCATTGGTTGACGTGTCTCTTCCGCAAAATAACTTTGAGACGTAGAAACACAATTTGAGACATATCCAGGAGTCCAGAGGCAAAAGTGAATCTTAAAACTGCTTTTTCTCCCTCTCTTCTGATTGGCTAGGAGTGAGAAGTGTTATCTCTGTAAATCCTTCGTCCCATTCAGAGAGTATCAGTGTCATGTAGACTCCTGTCTCCAGCTTGCCAAGGGTGACCAAGGAGATGGACCTTCAGGGAGTGATAGTGTATGCCCAGTTGCGGAGGGGAAGCAGCAGCAACGGCTGAGGAGCACCAAGGTATGTGAGGAGTGTTGTTAGGAAGGGCTGCCCAACCCTCCTGATCATTTCTACTCAATGTGAAGCAACCACACTTCTGCTCTGCCTTTCCCCCTTTTTTTTTCCTCCCTTCCTTCTTTTCTTCCTCCCTCTTCCCTTCCTTTTCTTCTGTTTATCTTGAAACAAGATTTGTGCATTTTAAAATTTTCTGTTTTTCTTTTACTTTAAAAAGTAATACATATTCCTTGTAAAAAAATTGGAAAGTTCAAAAAAAGTATAAATAATCAGGGAAAATCATCACCCAGAATCCACTACTCAGAGACAACAACTTTTAATATTTTGACCTATTTCCTTCCATTTTTTTTTTTTCCTTTGCATTTTTAATGTAATAGAACAGTTTCTATCCTAGATTACCAAAAAAAAACCTTGTAACATAAACACCTTCCTGGATTTATTTTTAAACTATGTGAAAACATGTTACTGTTAATGTTTGTATCACGCAGACAATCACTTAACCATTCTCATCTTATTGGACATTTAGGTTCTTTCCAATTCTTCTGTATTATAATACTGTTTTTAAACATTAATCAGTCTTTGTCTGTATAACTGATTATTTCTTTAGAATAGATTTCCTGAAGTGGAACTACTAGGGCAATGGGTGTAAACATTTTAAAGTTTCTTGAAAGATACTGCTGAATTGCTTTCCAGAAGGGAGATCCAGTTCATACCCATACTACCAGGAGCATATGCAAGATCAGCTTAGTTGAACTCTGTATGTACCAAGCCTTAGGAAGCCATGGGATCTGGCCCATGGTCACCGAGGAGACAAATGTGCTTTCTGGGCCTTGTGACTAGAGAGCAGGAAGAGCAAATCTTGGCTTAGAAATCAAAGGTGGCGCAGCAGCTCCATATCTTAGGCTTGCTAACATAGCAGAGCACACTAAGATGGGGAAGCTATTATCTGTCCTGCCAGAAGAAAGGGAGCTCTTTTGAATGGGGTTATTTCGAGGTGGTAGTTTAGAGTTGGGGCTCATAGGTGAATGCTTATAGCATACAGCCAGTTTATTCTTTTGATATCACTGCCTGTAGAAGCTACCTTAAAGCTCTTGGTTCAAGTTTAAATCTCACAAATCTGTCACAGATCAAAAGCTGCTGTTCTTTGACATGATCTTGGTGGACTAACTTTGGTTTACTCTGGTATCCAGTCTTGGATAATATTCTTTGCATAGAGATGGATTTTATTCATCACTACCTTTTTTTTATGTGCGTACTCATTTATTAGAAAGCAAAAGGATTTCCTAGAGCTGCACCTCCGCACCTCTTCTCTTCTGGAGACAGGTGTGATCTAGGCCAGAGAAGTTGTGTTTTAGACTCTGTCTGCCATGTGGTAACCCTTTCATCTATTTTTCTCTGTCACAGGAAAAAGGCCAGAATGAAGGTCGACTCCTCAGTGTCTTGGAGCAGTCTGAGCAGCAGTCTGCAGGTAAGGACTCCAGGACTGGTTTGCTGAGCTTCTGCCTCAGCCTTCCAGTGAAGATAGCCTGGCTGTCTGTTGGGGTTGTGTGGGTGCACATTTGATTCAGCCACCCATCCTTTGAGACCTGATCTCAGTCATCTCTCCCCAAGGAAAAGTGATGGTAGTAGTGGGGACACCCTGTCTTATTCATCAACTGTTTCATTTCAGGCTTTGTAAAGTCTGGGATCAGGACTGCCTGTTGAAGTGGGGAAAAATGTGTCCAAATCACAGGGGAGTGACAAAAGCCCAAGCACACCTTCTAAAGGAGCAGGATTGCAAAACCGGACATGCAGATGTCCAACACTTTGTGTACCATTCATATGCTACCTTCAGCTTAGTCCCAACCTGTGCTCCTGAGGGTTAGTAGGAAGTAAGTCCCACTCTTTGTGCCCAGTATTTTGGGAGCCATAGAGTGGATTGGTTAAGAACATTACCAGATCTGTGTTAGAATTCTGGCTCTGCCACTAACCTTGTTTTTTGACGTTGCACAAATTAACCTCTCTGAGGTTATTTAGCCTCTTCTGTAAATAGAGTGAATGATACAGTGCCATAGATTGCAAGGATTATATTCAGTAAAGCTCCAAACATAGTACTTCTCATAAGTAGACTATGATAAATGTTAGTTGCTATTATTACTGTTACTGTTACTAGTTGCTAATGTTAAAATTCACCAGATACAGAAGGAAAAGGAGCTTTTGTTTAAGCCTGGTGAGATTTGCTTGCCATCTAGTTCTAGTAGTTCATTCCCACACAGAAAATCTGTTGTGCCTTCTGATGACTATAAAAAGGCGGCCTTTCTGAGCCTCACGTCCTGCTGCCTCTAGATAAGCAGGTTGTGAATCTCTGCAGGTGGTGGGTTTCCCTTGGCAACTGCTCGTTCCTCAAGTCCAGATTTGAAGTAGATTTATTCAGTGGTTCATTCAAAAGTGTTCACCTCAGCACATTGCATGGCAGCTAGGCCTGTTGGATGCTAGTGTTTACATTCCATGGTCTGGAGATTGAGGATCTGATGAGAAGCAGTGCCCAGAACACAGGAAGTACATGATCAGTGAGAAGTGGTGTGATTACCAACATGACTATCAACATTAATACTCTTTCTCTCCTATCACAGATGCCGAGATAAAGACCACGTCTTCAGAAACAGGAGCCTTCAGGTGAGTTGGGGTGTGCATTGAAGAGTGGCTCTCAGCAGTTCTGAAGAGTGCAGGCCTAGTTCTATGTTCTGGGTGTAGAGTGATGTTTAAACTATTGAAGTAGGAATCACTGTGAAACTATATGACTTCTGTCTGGATAGCTCTGTGACACCCCCCCCACCCCCATATCTGGGCTAAGAATTGGATGGATAGCTCAGTTCACTCATGGTGTTAAAACAAGCAGAGCAAAAGCTGTGTCTTATTCCTCCTTTCTACCTCTCGTCCCCACCCAACCCTGGTCTTCTGATCTGGATTTCAGGCAGCCTGGGAATTTGGGTTTGAATCCTCATTTTCTCACTGCCGAACTACCTGACTTTAGGTATATGATTTAACCCCTTTGTCCCCAATGTCCTCATCTGTGAAGGGGAAATGATAATACTTACCTGGTTGGGTTATTATAGAAACGACAGGACCTAATCTGTGAAAGCCCCTGGTCCAGTGCATGGCACGTACTTGGTACTTATTGGTAGGTGTCTATTGAATCAGAATTTTCTTTTTTCCCTAGGGTTTCCTCACTGGGGATGGAAGAGGCAGGCTGCAGCAGAGAGATGCAGAGTTCCCTTGCACATCTCGACATAAATGATTCTCCCATCAAGTCTTTTGTTTCCATTTCAGAAGCCACTGATTGCTTAGTAGACTTCAAAAAGCAATTTACTGTCCGGCCAGGTAGCCGGGCACGGACCAAAGCAGGCAGGGGAAGAAGGAGAAAATCCTAAATGTCTGGGGTCAGAGGGTTGACAGAACCATGAGCAGTAGGAGTGGGCCATGTTCATTAAGCTACCATGGCCTCCAGTTCATTGTTGAGCAAGTTTGGGCCTTGCAGTTTTCACCACCAGCCCCCACCCACCATCCTGGTTTTTATGTTTTCTATGATCTATACCGACACCTGTGTATAGTATTCTGTTTTATAACAGTACGTTTGAATTCACGTTTAGTTAAAAGAAAGTTTAAATATATTTATCTATGTTTGTATGAAATCTTATTTCAATAAGTTGGAGATTTCTCTTTTTTTGCCTCTGTGTTGTTGGGGTTCAGGACTCGGATATTTTAATTGTGGAGGTAGTTCTCAGACTCATAAATTAACATGTTTCTGAATGAATGCCATTACTGATCTTTGACATACCCACTATCTTCATTGAATGTGTAATGCACAATTCTAAACACTGCGTGGTTATTCCCTCGACCTTCTCTGACATCATTCTGGAAGCTGCCAGGGGTATTGAATCCTACTGTTTATTCTGCTGTCTGTACCATTCACTTCCCCGTAACTTCGTCTTGCTGTTCTTGCCCAGTTAAGAATTCTCGGCCAGAGAATAGGACCTTGGTCCTGTCATTCTTCCCAAGAATTCGTAAGTGAACACTGTTACTAGTTCCTCTGCAATTCTTTTTTCTTTCTAGATTAGCCAGTGGGGATGCCAGGCTTATTTATCTGTTAAATCGAGATTGGTTCTCCTTACTGCCAAAGGTCATAGCAGCAACAGGAAGTAGCTTCTATTTCAGTGACATTACTAGAGCATTGCATAGACTTCACCAAGAGAGGACACTTTGTGGCGACCATGGGACATAACGGAAGAAAGGGTGTCAGGAGAGCTAGCTTTGGCCAGAGCTGATTTGAAGATGCAGTGAAAGACTATGGGAGGTGGCTGCTGACCAAGAAGCCTCTTTGGACAGTTTAGACAGGGACACCACTCAGACTCTCCTGGCTTCTGACTTAAGTCCAAACTTACCTGTTCCTTTATTTTAAAATGAAAATGAGCGGGCATGGAAGACACAGCGCAGGCCTTTAAACCACTGTTTCCTGCTTAGGTCCCTTTGCACACAAGCTCTTTGAGCTAGAATAACACAAATGGTGGGCTCACAGTATGTTTCTTTTGTAGACTGTCTTGGTGTTGGATGATACCGACATTGCAGCCAGTGTCACATAAGTAATAGCTGTTATTTTTTTAGCAACTGCTATGGTCCAGGCAATATATATTCCTTTATTTAAGCCTCACAGCAGCCCTGTGAGGTAAGCATTATCATCCCCATTTTTTAGATCAGGAAACAAAGGCTCAGAGGGATAAATAAAACCATTCTTTGTCCATGGCAGAGATACCACAGTGCCCCTGCTCTTTGGTCCTAAAGAAAATGCTATGTTTTGACTGTAGTATTGATTATTTTCCTGTTTTCCTTCTGATGGAAGGTAGTTTATCAGTTTTTCCCATCAGCTTAACTCTCACTAGTCTTCTCTCATTAAATGATGATTTATTGGAGGTAGAGCTCTGTAAACAGGGGATAGTGTGTTTATCTCTCTGCCTGAAAATAAGAAAAGGGATAAAGCAGATTCCAGAATTATTTAGCTTAGAATTGAGCAGGCTTCCTAGAACATGGGTCAACTGCAGGAGGGGGTGGCCCAGCAGGACCATGAATGGGCAGGCTTAGTTATGAGCTAATGGGGAGTCAAGGGAACAACAGCAACCCCTCCCCTGCAGCCTTCCCCAGCTGTCATTGGTAAGAGCTGCCCATTTGTCCAGTCTTATTTTCCTCATCCTAGGAGTCCTGAGGGAGAAACATTAGGCAAACAGTGAAGCAGCAAAGTCAGTAGAAAGAGTATCATGTCACCCTGAGTCTGAGTCCTGCTTCTCATTCAAGTTACCTACCCTCCCTGAGACCTAGTTTCCTCATCCATAAAATGGGGAAACTCATGCTTACTGGGTTCTAAAGACGAAGATAACGTGTAGAAAGGACCTAACACATAGAAGACAGCGAGTACAGGCAGCAGTTGTTCTGAACGTGGTACAGCATTGTGAGTTGTCAGTAGAGTCATCAGGGAGGCTCGAGAGGCCAAGAAACTTGCCCAAGGTCATAGAGCTGGCAAGTGGGGTAAGATTCAAACGCAGGTCTGTCTGACACCAGAAATCATGCTGTCTGTACTATATTCTGCTTCCCACTCAAGCCACAAAGCTGATGACTCAATGGAAATTCTAGATTTGGGTTACTTTATTGTTTATCATGGGCTCATTGTTGCCTGTGAGGCAGGGCAGCTTTGGCCCTAATGTTGTTTTAGAGGAGCAGGTAGTAAATGATGGCTACTGTCTTAGTCATCTAGTGCTACTCTAACAGAAATACCACAAGTGGATGGTTTTAACAAAGAAAAGTTTATTTCCTTACAGTAAGTAGGCTAAAAGTCCAAATTCAGGGTATCAGCTCCAGGGGAAAGCTTTCTCTCTCTCGGACTTCTCATCAGTTCCCCCGGACTAGGAGCTTCCCGGCGCAGGGACCCCAGTCCAAAGGATGTGCTCTGCTCCTGGCAATGCTTTCTTGATGGTATGAGGTCCCCAATTCTCTGCTTGCTTCCCTTTCCTTTTATCTCTTGAGAGAGAAAAGGTGGTGCAGGCCACACCCCAGGGAAACTCCCCTTACATTGGATGTGACCTGGGTAAATGTGGTGTTAGAATCCCACTCAAATCCTCTTTAACATAAAATTACAATCACAAAATGGAGGCCAACCACACAATTCTGGGAATCATGGCCCAGCCAAATTGATACACACATTTTTGGGGGGGCATAATTCAAACCATGGCATTTAGCAATGGGAAAATGGAGGAACGTACAAACAAGAGGTGCGAGGCTGCTAAAATCACATGCACCAGGAAGGCAAGAAAGGGTGATTTATTTCCTGTTTCAAAAGCCCTGGGCTACTGAGGTTGAGGGAGGGCTTTTCAGTTTAACAAAAATAACCATACTTATTCCATGTCAGGCCTAGAACTGGACCTTTGGGCTCCAAAGATGAGCCCACAGCACAAGGGGAAGACAAACACATTGGTGATTTCAAAAAGCTGCTGCAAATGCAGTGATACACAGAAGGCCAAGATACTATGGGATCAGTAAGGCAGGCCGGACTCAGTGGGGGTCAGGCCCAGGAGGGCTTGTCAGGGAAGGCTCCCCAGCATTGGTCATGACTGAGCTGCAGTTTAAAGGATGCAGGAAAAGTCAGGTGAGAAGGCTGGAGAGGGCAAAAGGGAGGACATTCCAGACAGACCGGCATGAACAAAGACAGCACCGGGCAACCACGTGATGCATGTGAGCGCTGTGGAATCCCAAGTATAAAGTGCGAGGAGGGGACGGTGGGAGAGCTCATTGCAGGCTGTGGGCCTGGCTGCGGGCACTCTGGGGGCTGGGAAAAGCAAGCCTGTGGGCAGCTCAGAGCAGGCGGCCCTGGGCACCCAGCCCAGTTGGTTGGGGCAGGGGTTCTAGCTGCTGCCCACCCTCAGTCCAGCTGATGTCTCTCCCCATTCCTCAGTTCTCTGGACAGCTGGAGGTTGGCACTGAGGGGCTATGAGGGGGTTTGCCAGCCTCCCCTTTCCCTTGTTGGTCAGTGGCCATCTGGAGTTGGAAGAGAACTGCTGGCATCTGCTGTGCCTCTGCCATGGCCAGGGCTGTCACAGCTGCTCACAGACCTAAAGCCCAGGCTGCCACCCCTCCGTGCACCCTATCACAGATTGTCCCTTGCACACCGACTAGGGGGCCAGGACCCCTGCTCCTGGGAGAATGGACACAGGACTTCCAGAAGCACCAACGTGGAGCCCTGGTAATGCTCATCAGGGGCATCCCCTCACCCTGGCTTGGAAAACTGCAAATTCTGGCTGTCAGCATCAATAACAGCTGGACCTTTCACTTTCAGTTCCTCTTCCAACTACACAACTTGAGAAAGGCTGGAGCCACCACCTGGGCTGCTGGACCTTTCACATTCGGTTTTTCTTCCAACTACACAAAGTGAGAAAGGCTGAAATTAACAGCATGGGCTGCTAGACCTTTCACATTCAGATCCTCTTCTCTCCCATCTAGACAAATGAGAAAGGCTGGAGCCACAGCCCAGGCTGCTGGACCTTTCACATTGAGTTCCTTTTCCAACTACACAAATGTAAGAAAGGCTGAAATCTCAGCTGGGGCTGCTGGACCTTTCATATTCAGTTCCTCTTCTCTTCCAACTGGACAGGAAAGGCTAGAGCCACAGTCCAGGTTACTGTGGCATACAACTGGGATAGTTCCCAAGCTACACTGGGCAACAGACCGCTCTGTTCTCCCCACCCACCCTGGGACTTGCCTGCCTTTCGGAGCCGATATGCTGGCCAGTGCCCAGTCAGCAGGGCTCGCGTCTGGCCTGCTTCCAGGCCCAGTCATGCCTAAACTGGTACAGCACCACCTCCCTGATCTCTGGCCAGGTGTCACGTGGAGGTCATTTACTGTCTGTGGGTAATTGTAGGGTTACCACTGATGAGGTAGCCGAGGTTTTAAAGCGCCCACCAATTTTCCTGAAACGAAGAATGTTGCCATATGTCTAGTCTTCTGTTATGGTGGTCTCAGTGGTGCCCCAAGATGCTGTAGCACCCCAGGATAAACAGCTGGTAGCTGACAGCTCCACTGAACCTGAGCCTCCTCTACCCTTCCAGCAGAGAAGGCCCATGTGTGCGCCTACGACCCCTTGGCCTACAGAGTAAACACTGGCTCCACAGGCTGGCTGTGCCTCCTCCACCACATACCCCTCCTACATGTGTCCTCTTAGGCCCTTGGAGCTGCAACCAAGGTGCACCTACTTTAATGCCCAGTGATCTTGTACATGCTGTTCTCTTTGTCCAGGACGACTTCGCTCAGCTTGCTTGCCCACTCTTTTCTCTTCCTCTTGGGTTCCCGCACAGCCTTTTGCTCACCAGCACTGCCACATTTTGGAAACTTGTCTATTGTACTGTGCATTCCCCTGACTAGGCTCCTCCTGCTTCTTTCCAGGGGCATGTTTTACAGACTTCGGGGTCCCCATAGTCACCACCTCAAAACTCAGTGATTGTAGTATGAGTGCTCCCAGCACTGCTAAGGGGATGTCCCCGAGTCCTTAATTCAGGGCTCCTACTTCCTATGGGCATCCTGTTCAAGTTTGTACTACAGTTCTGCTTACCCTGGGTGCCTTGTAGAGCAGACTTGGAAGGAAGTGCACCTCTCTAAATCAGCTGTTGATTGGTGGTGAGAAAGAGGGTGGGGCCTGGGTTTCACTTTTAGGTGCAGACCAGGGTGACTGGGATGGTTCACACTGAGAGAAGAACTCAGGCCTAAGGACAGTGACCAGCTACTGCTTCTCTAACGTAAGGCCTTACCCCAACCCCTCAGCCCTGTCCCTCCTGCTTGGCCCATCCTGGAGGAAGTGGAGGTTGGAAAGGTCCTGGGTGGTAGCTTCTGTCCTAAGCAGTGTCCCCAGGATGGCTTTCAGAAGGAACGCTCACTATGGACCTGGTTAAAAGGGCTTGGCTACTAACCAAAAGGTTAGCAGTTTGAATCCACCAGCCGCTCGTTGGAAATCCTATGGGGCAGTTCTACTCTGTCCTATAGGGTCGCTATGAGTCAGAATCGACTGAATGGCAACTGATTTGGTTTTTATATTAAACCCCATCCTGGGCCCTGAAGATACAGAGATGGCCCAGACAATGCAGTGTAAGGGGTAGCCCTACAGACTAAGGGGACAGCTTGAACAATGGGTTGAACGCAGGAGACTACAAGCAGCTTGTAGTCAGTGTGGCTAGAGGATGCAGGAGAGGAGGCTTAGATGAGGACAGATCAGGAGGGCCCTCGGATGCCACGATAGAGAGTTCTGAACTTTTTCAGCAGTGGGGAGCCATCACAATGTGAAAGTTTGCATCCTCTTGTAGGAGAGATAGAGCTGGGGAATGACATGATAGTATCTACTATAGCACAGTCACTGGTGATGTGTTGAGAGTGGTGTGGGGCGGGAGGAAGACCGACTGGAAGCAGAGGTGTCGGTCAGGAGTCTCTTGGAATAATCAGATGAGGAAGGTAGAGAGCAGTGGCAGTGGAAACAGGGACACGCAGGGGCACTTGTCCACAGATCCTGAGAATGATTCCACAGAGACACGAGGGTCAGGGATACATACAGGCAACCCCAATTGCTGTGTACGTGAGCACGCCTCTCCTGATGCCTCTAGCCAAGATGGAGAAGAGAAGAGTTGTGGGGAAAGTGAAGGAGAAAACGAGCATGGCTTTGACTATTGAGTTTGCTGTGCCTATCCAGTTCTCGGATAGTGATGTTTTACAGATGATGAAATTTAGGATTTGGCTCAGGACAGAGGGGATTGGGGAGCCCTCACACAGACGCTTTATTCAAACCTTGGGGGTGGGTGCCAAAGAAGGAGTGTGGAGAAGTGGGCCATGAACAGAAACCTGGAACCCCACGCATTCCATTAGTGGAACCGCTTGCTGAAACACACAGAGGGGTTACTGACGAAGACTGCAAGAGACTCAGTGAGGAAGGAGACCTGGGACAGGCTGTGGCCACTGAGGCCAAGCGAGGAGAGAACTGTGCAGGGAAGAGAATGGCTCATGGCTGCACATGCTGGGGGAGGGCAGTGAGGAGGCACAGGTGACCATGTGAGGGTGGAGGGTGGGAGGGTCGCAGCACTATCTTTCTGAAAGTTTTGGCGTTACAAGGAGAGATGGAGGGATTCAGTGGAGTACATTTCTCTATTCCTCCACCTCTGAAGGACCCTAAATCACCGACGGCGCCCTTGGGGACTTCCTGGAAGAGCAATACCACCTCTAGCTGGGGTGAGCAAAACACCTGACCTTTCCACAGTCCTTTACAGTCTGCAAAGGACTTTCATAACCATTACCTCTTTTAATCCTCACAAGAACTTGATTTTATTCATGTTCTGGAAGAAGACATTGAAGCTCATAGAATTTAGATTTACATTCAGCTAAATAACTCTGAAGGCATACTCTGATAAGCCTCCTTTACCCCGCACAACCCTGTGGCATATGTTGATCCCCATTTCACAGATGAAGAAACTGAGACCGAGGGGTTGAGAGAGCTCGAGTGGCTGCTTTGCGGGGAGCGGGGTCTTGGGCTCTGAGTGCAGGTTCAGTCTTCTCTGTACCATGGCTCCTTCAAAAGCACCCCCTGAGCCAGCATTTGCATTGCACATTACATCTCATAAAGCATGTTCCCAGGTGTTAATCCATTTAATTCTCACAACATCCTTGTGAGGGGAGATATTATTTCCTCCTGTTTTACAGATGAAGAAATTGAAATTTAAAGAGGTTCTAACCTACTTACCCAAAGTCACACCATTAGTGGAACTGCTTGCTGAAACACAGATCCACCATGCCACACACCCTGTCCATATCTCCCCACTGCCTTCAGGATTACAGTCATACACCTTAATTAAACCATTTGCTGTAGAGTCAACTCTGACTCATATTGACCCCATGTGTATCAGAGTAGAACTGTGCTCCATAGGCTTTTTGTTGTTGTTGTTGTTCTTTACCATTTTCTTTTTTTAAATTTATTTTTGGTGAAAATATACTCAGCAAAACCCACACCCATGCCATGGTTTCTAGACATCATGATCAGCGACACTGGTTACATTCTTCACATTACGTCAACATTCTCATTATTTCTGTTCTTGTTGTTTCACTACCCTTTATTTAATCTCCCTGGCCTCCCCCACAAACTTCTCATCTGTGCTTTAAAATAGCTGTTGACCCTTTGGTTCTATATAGATAATTTTTTTTTTTTTAATAAACAGAATACTCAAGGGTGATCATCTTTACTCTTTGGGCTAAACTGTTAGTTCACAGGTGACTTTAGGGGATAGCTTCAATTCAAGGTTTGAAGAGCAACTCAGGGCCATAGTCTCGGGGACACCTCCAGCCTCAATAGGTCCAGTAAGGCTGGATTCCTTAAGAATTTGAAGTTCTGTTCCACATTTTTCTCCCTTTTTATCAGGATTCATCTATTGCTTTGCGTTCCTGATCAGAACGTTCAGTAGTGGTGGCCGGGCACTCTCTAGTTCTGGTCTCAAGGTGGGGGAGGCAGTGGTTCATGCAGACAATCAGTCCTGTAGTCCAGTTCCTTCTCTGATTCTTGGGTTTCCTTCTTTCTCATTTGTTCCAGACGATTAAAGACCAATAGTTGTGTCTTATCTGGTTGCTCATAAGCTTTTAAGACCCCAGACACCACTTACCATACCGGGAGGTGGAACATAAACTTTAAAAACTCTATTATGCCAATTGACTGGATTGTCCCATGAGACCAGGCCCTAAGCCCCCAAACCAAGAGAACTAATCCCATGATGTGAATGGTTATGTCTAATTAGTGTCAGCATCTGTAGCCTCCACTTTTTTTGTTGTTGTTAAATTGTTTCAAAACTGTACACAACTGAATATTTACCCTTTTCCCTATGTACAGCTTATTGACATGAGTTACATCAGTCATGCTGTGCAAACTTCACCCATATTTGGTGCCACCTTTCCCATTCTATGGAGCCCTGGTGGCGTAGTGAGTAAGTAGTCGGCTGCTAACCAGAAAAGTTCTGCAGTTCGAATCCACCAGCTGCTCGTATTGGGGCAGTTCTACCCTGTCCTATAGGGTTTCTATGAGTCAGAAATGACTCACAGCAACAGGTTCATTTGTTTTTTTTGTTGTTTTTTTCCCCATTCTAGAAACATAAAGTGACTACTACCTAGAGAGTACTTCTCCCTCTCCCCTCACCCTCATAACCGCTAATGAACATTAGTTTCTGTGTTTTTACCTATTCATATCATTTCATAAGCGTGAGAACATACAATATTTGTTTTTTGTGATTAACTTATTTCACTCAACATAATGTCCTCCAGGTTTATCCACATTTTAAGATGTTTTGGGGATTCATATTTCTTTATTGTTGAGTAGTATTCCATTGTATGTATGTACCACATTTTACTTATCCATTCAATCGTTGATGGGTACTTAGGTTGTTTCCATCTCTTTGCTAATTGTGAATAGTGCTGCAATGAACATAGGTGTGCGTATGTCTGTTCGTGTCACTTCTATTAGATCACTAGGGTATATACCTAGGAGTGGAATTACTGGTCATATGGCACCTCTACCTCTAGTTTTTTGAGGAACCGCCAGACCGTTTTCCACAATGGTGGTACCATTTTACATTCCCACCAGCAATGGATGAGTGTTCCAATTTCTCCACATCCCCTTCAACGCTTGTTATTTTCCTTTTTTTTGTGTTTAATCTTAGCCATCCTAGTAGGAGTGAAATGATATCTCACTGTGGTTCTGATTTACATTTCTCTAATGGCTAATGACATTGGGCATCTTTTCATGTGTCTGTTGGCCATTTGAATATCCTGTTTGGTGAAGCGTCTGTTCATATCCTTTGCCCAGTTTTTCATTGGATTATTTGTCTTTTTGTTGCTAAATCCATAGGTTTTTTAATGGCTGATTTTTCAGAAGTAGATCATCAGGGCTTTCTTCTGACATGCCTTTGGGTGAACTTGAACCTCCAACCTTTTGGTCAGAAGCCGAGTACGTTAACTACTTGCACCACCCAGAAACTCCTTCATGCACATTAGCCTGGCATAAAGACCCTCGAAGTCCAGCCTTGTAGACTTCTCCAGCTGGTCGTTGGCCCCTTCTGATCTCAAACCGTTCGTTCCAAACCTCTAGACTGTCTCTAACCACTCCCAAGCTTAGCAGAATGTCATCTGCTACTGGTGTCCACCTCTATCACAGTCTGTGTCAACTGGACTGTGATGGCTGGCAAGGCCTAGGTCCCTGAGGGCATGGTACAGGAAGGGACAGCTGAATGTGAAGGAATGACAATGAATGAATGGCATTTGGGCTGGAAATTAGCCTTCCCAGTGCTCTCATTGCACATGTTTCTGGAAAACAAGGGCCTTCTGGCTGATTACTAAAGGATCTGTGACACTCAGAGGTTCTGAATTCTGCCCGCAGCTTCCTTCCTGTTCCCTCAGACGGAAGGAAGTTGAGGGCCTAGATCACAGCCTGCTGGGCCTACAGAGTAAGAGGCTCACCGTCCCTTCTCTCCCATAGGAAGCCAAGTGGACTGGAACCAGATGGACTCCAATGGGCCTGCAGGACTCGGGCACAGGGGTGGAGCCTCAGGCTGCCCCCTGGAGGGCTCGCCCCAATCCTCGGACAGATCCAACCTGGTAAGTTCAGCACCGGGGGTCTGTCTCATGCTTATTCCAGTCAAATGCAGGATTGGCCAAAGGTGCTGTGGGCCCTGGGGTCATCCCCATGTCCCATGCAGCCCTTTACAATTTACTGAGCTTTTCATATCTGGTCATGATCTATCTCTTTTGAGACTCCAGACAATTGCAAGGTGGGTATCACCTCCTCATCTTACAGATGTGAAGAGGAGGCATAGACAGGTGAAGTGACAGGTGAATTAAAGGCACGACAGGGCTTGAGCTGAGGTGTTTCAGCTCCAGATGTGTTGCTTTCACCACCTTACCCCTCAGGGTAACTCTAAGGGGTTGACACTGTCTGGAAATGGCCCTCCATCACTGCTCACATGTTACCCAAGGTGTTCTGCTAAAAGCTGTGCCTTGAGCCCCACCTCTCCCCATTTCTGTAATTGCTCCTGCTCCTATCTCCCTCTCCTCCTCATGGCCACTTCTGTCAGGCACCCACAGATGATGTTAGTGTTGGGCCCTCTCTGCAGTTTCCATCCAGCACAGTCGCCACCTGCCCAAGGTTAGCACAGAAGTGACCTTCTCTTTTTTTCTGCCATCTTGACCAAGATCTAGAGCCCCTCGCATACCGTACCCCCAAGCAGGAAGCACTTGAGTAAGCCATCACATATTTCTTCATCCCTGCTTCCCCATCAGTGAAATGAAGAAGAATAAAGTCTAATCCTCCTATCTCTGTGAGGATGAAATGAGCTCACAGAGATAAAGGACCTGCAAAGAGCAGGGCCCATTCATTAAAGGGTTCTTTAGTTTCCAGTTTGGCCTGATATCCACTCGACCAGGCTTGTTGCCCAAACTGTGGGCATCACCCCTCACTGCATCTCACACTGCCCAGCCAGGACTCGCTCCAGGCCTGCCATCATCTCCTGAAACCATTCACCAGTCCCACATATGCCCTGCTGGCTTTGTGACTTACACCTGCAGTATAAAGACAATTCATTCCCTTTGGCTTTGGAGGACTTCACGGAGCACCAAATTTCCCTTGGTCTTGGCCCTGGCTCCCTTTACCTGGTGATCTGAGAAGAAGATTAGTTAACCATATGTGGTCAGAGCCCAGCCCAGCCTCTCTGAGTCTTGTTCCAATCCCCAGATCTTTTAACCACCAGAGGGGCACAGAATCAGGCTGTCCAGGCTGGCTGTGCCTTGTGCTCCGAGGGAAAAAAACCAAACCGATTGCTGTCGAGTTGACTCCAACTCATGGTGACTCTATGTATTTCAAAGTAGAAGTGTGTTCCATAGACTTTTCGATGGCTGACTTTTTTTTTTTTTTATTATTGTACTTTAGATGGAAGTTTACAGAACAAACTAGCTTCTCATTAAGCAGTTAGTACACAGATTGTTTTATGACATTGGTTAACAACTCCACGACATGTCAACATTCTCCCTTCTTGACCTTGAGTTCCCGATTACCAGTTTTCCTGTCCCCTCATACCTTCTAGTCCTTATCCCTGGACTGGTGTGCCCCTTTACTTGCGTTTTGTTTTATGGGCCTGCCTAACCTTTGGCTGAAGGGTGAACCTTGTAAATGACTACATTACTGAGCTAAAAGGGTGTCCGGGAGCCATACTCTCAGGGTTTCTTCAGTCTCTGTCAGCCAGTAAGTCTGATCTTTTTTTTGTGAGTTAGAATTTTGTTCTACATTTTTCTCCAGCTCTGTCCAGGACCCTCTGTTGTAATCCTTGTCAGAGCAGTCGGTGGTGGTAGCTGGGCACCATCTAGTTGTGCTGGACTCAGTCTGGTGGAGGCTATAGCAGTCGTGGTCCATTAGTCCTTTGGACTAATCTTTCCCTTGTATCTTTTAGTTTTCTTCATTCTCCCTTGCTCCCTAAGGAGTGAGACCAGTGGCATATCTTAGACGGCCGCTCACAGGCTTTTAAGACCCCAGAGGCTACTCACTCAATGGCTGACTTTTTGGAAGTAGACAGTCAGGCCTGTCTTTTGAGGTGCCCCTGGGTGGACTTGAACCTCCAACCTTCCAGTTAGCAGACAAGTGCTTAATCGTTTGCACCACCTAGGGATTCCATGCTCTGAGGGAAGGGGACTCCATTTCACTGGGCATCTCCTGTCCCACTACCTCACACGTACTGTCTTCTCTGTCCTCACAGCATCTCTGAGAAGTGGGTCTATTATCATTCCCACTTAGTAGAGGAGGGAACCAGCTCAGACCGGGGAGGGTCCCAGCCCACCCAGCCCCTTGGTTAGAGGAGCCTGCACTAAAGCCATATGGACTCCACACACTCTCTGATGCTTTGCTCATCTCTCTCCTTGTGAGGTCTCTCCCCTCTCTTGGGAGGGGCAGGGGCAAAGGGATGCTCCAGGAGCTTCTCCTGGCTGGTGCCTGCACCCCAGAGTCTGCCAGGGCACCGCTTCTGGCTTTGCTGCTTCTCTGCCATCTCCCAGCCACTCTTCTCGAGCCTCTCTCGGCATCCAGGAGGACAAGGAAGAAAAACATTCATCTGCCCAAGCCATTGACTTCCACATAACTCTACTGGTTGCATTAAGCAATAATAAAATACCCCTCACAATTGAACAGCACTTCAAACTTTCACATACATTATCCCATTTAATTCCTCTGCCACCACAGCCATTCATTCAGAAAATCCTCCCTGCATTTCCAACTCAAGCCAGCTGCTTGGTGCAGCCCTGAGACACAACAGGGAACAAGATTGGCCCCTGTCATCGGGGGGCTTCTGCATCTTATTATTTTCTTAGTTTTGCATAGTAGGTGACTGGGGCTCAGAGAGAAGTGTGACTTGCCCACAGCCAGGAAGTGGCAGGGCAAGGACTCAGATGTAAATTTCCTCTTCTCAGATCCTATAGGGTTTCTTTGCTATACCCTTTGTCAGTCTTGGGAGACATTGTGTGATTTTTCAGGTGACACTGCCAATTCTTTTTTTTTATTTTGTTTATTGTTGTAGTTTAAATGAAGTTTACATTTCAAGTTAGTCTCCTATACAAAAATTTATACATACATTGTCATGTGGCCCTAATTGCTGTCCCCATACTGTGACAGCACACTCTTCCTTTCCATCCCTGATTCCCCATGTCCATTTAACCAGCTCCTAACCCTCTCTGCCTTCCCATCTCACCTCTGAACAGAAGCTGCCCATTTAGTCTCTTGTATCTACTTGAGCTAAGAGGCACACTCCGCATGAGTATCACTTCATGTCTCACAGTCCAGTCCAGTCCCTGTCTGAAGAGTTGGCCTTGGAAATTGTTTTATTTCTGGGCTGATAGAGAATCCAGGGCCCATGCTTTCCAGGGTTCTTCCAGTCTCATTCAGACCATTAAGCCTGGTCTTCTTACTAGAATTTGAGTTCTGCACCCTACCTTTCTCCTGCTCCATCAGGGACGCTCTGTTGTTTTCCCTGTCAGGGCGGTCATTGGTGGTAGCCGGGCACCATCTAGTTCTTCTGGTCCCAGGCTGATGAAGTCTCTAGTTTATGTGGCCCTTTCTGTCTCTGGGCTAATACTTTCCTTGTGTCTTTGGTGTTCTTCATTCTCCTTTACTCCAGGTGGTTGGGACCAATTGATGCATCTTAGATGGCCGTTTGCAAGGTTTTAAGACCCCAGATGCCACTCTCCGAAGTAGGGTGCAGAACATTTTCTTAATAAGCTTCGTTATGCCAATTGACCTAGATGTCCCTTGAAAGCATGGTCCCCAGACCCCTACCCCTGCTACTCTGTCCCTCAAAGTATTTGATTGTATTCAGGAAACTTCTTAGCTTTGGTTTAGTCCAGTTGTGCTGACTACCCCTGTTGTGTGTGCTGTCGTTCCCGTCACCTAAGATAATTCTAAATCTACTATCTAGTTAGTAAATAACCCTCACCCTCCCTCCCCACCCTCATAACCATCGAAGAATAACATTGCTAATTCTTATAATGTTTTGCAGGCAGACAGATCTGGGTTCAATGCACATCCTGCCCCTTAATAGCTGCTTAGGCTAGGGGGATGAAGTCTGCTTTCTGAGCCTCAGTTTCCTTGTTTGTAAACATAGGAATCACACCTCCTAGTGTGCCTGGCTGCTGGAAGCATCTACTGTAACTCAAGTGCATAACTGTATATCTGGCATGACAGTTGAGATCATTTGCCTCCTTTAGGGATCTGTTTCCCTTTCTCTCAACAAAGCAGGGGGTGGGACTGAGTCGTCTTCATCTCTCACCATAGGCAGCCTCCCCTCCTTGGCTTTCTCAGGAGCTGCTTCATTATCCAGGTGCCTGAGTCGGTATTTCACAGCTCGGGACCAGTTTGGGGCAGCAGGTCATTGGGATGGAATTGGGATCGTGGCAAGGAATTGTGTGAGACAGGAAGTGGAATTTGAAGGACTGGGAGCCTTGGAAAGTCTAACATCAGGAAGGACCAAGTCCTGGGGCTGTGTTGTTGTTTGTTGCCATCAAGTTGGCTCCAACTCACGGAGACCTTATATATAACAGAACAAAAGTTGTCCAGTCCGACACCATCTGCATGATCATTGGTATGTTTGAACCCAGGGTTATGGCTATTGTGTCAATCCATCTTATTGAGGGTTTCCCTCATTTTCACTGAGTCTCTGCTTTACCAAACATGATGTCCTTATTTAGCAATTGTTCTTTCCTGATGGTGTGTCCAAAGTAAGTCTCATGATCCTTGCTTCTAAGGAGCATTCTGTTTGTATGTCTTCTAAGATAGGTTTGTTCATTCTTCTGTCAGTTCATGGTATATTCAGTATTTTTCTCCAACACCACAGTTCAGATACATCAATTCTTCTGTTTTTCTTTTCATTGTTCAGCTTTTGCGTGCATATGAGGTGACTGAAAAGACTATGGTTTAGGTTAGGCACACTTTAGTCATCAAAGTGACATCTTTGCTTTTTAGCATTTTAAAGAGGTCCTTTGCAGCAGATTTGTCCAATGCAATAATATATCGTTTGATTTCTTGACTGCTGCTTCCATGGACATTGATTGTTGATCCAAGTAAAATGAAATTGTTGACAGCTTTAAGCCCTCCATGAATCCATAGAGGCTGTTGGGACCTCTTTGAAGGCTGGGAGAGATGACTTTAGGGAGGTTTCTGTGCACAGAGGTGAGGTGCTGGAGGACTTTGGAGCACCCTCCCTATGGGCTTATGGTGGAGTGAGAACCTGGGCTGCCCTACTTTCTGCCCTCCCTGCTTTCCTGCCCCTCCCTCCAGCCTCTGATTCATCCTGGCCCATTCTTTCCCCAAATCCATCTCTTGCTCTGAAGAAAATCCCTTTGTGTTCTCCCCCAGAGCTCCAAATGGCTTGTCCCTTCGCTTGGGTCACCCCTCCAGGGAGACCTTCCCTGACCAACTATCTAAAAATATCTCTCCCTCCCCTGGTCACTTTCTAACTTGTAATTCTGCATTTTTAAATTAAAAACAATGTTTTTAATAGCCATCATTGCTCCCAGAACCACATTATGTGTTTATTGGCATATTTCGTGTCTCCTACATTGGAATACAAACTCTACAAGACCAGGACTTGGCTGGTTATGCTGTGGATAGTGCTTGGACTAGTCCTGGGCATGCAGCAGAGGCTCAGTTGCTATTTGTCAGAAGGTCTGGCTGGTTGAGGGCTATCTTCTGCAGTGTGAGCTCCAGACTCAGCCAGCTGGGCCTGATCAGGCTCGGGGGCTAAGAGTGCACTGGGAGAGGGAACACTTGAACTTGAAGACATTTCCTCATGCACTTGTTCATTCACCCACTCATTCAGCAACTGCTTCCCGAGCAGCTCCGCCTCTGGATACCAGGGCTGAGAAGGGGGTCAGTCGTGGGGTGACAGGAGGACGGCCTTGCCAAACCCTGAATCCAAAGTGAAGGGGGTGGGTGGAGCAGTGGGAGCTGAGAAGGCGCTGAGCAAGACTGACCCAAGGAGGAAGAGAAAAGTGGGCCCTCCTTTTGAATAGAGCCTCTGCGAACAGACAGACACAGAGCTGAGGCAGGCTGTCAGTGGCAAGAGTGCCAGCGTGTATGAGGATGGGAGGAGGGGGGAGGCTGGCAAGGCTCAGGGGCTTCAGCAGGGCTCTGGCTGAGCCCTTTTGGAAGCTGAGGGAGGGCACTGCCTAGACTGGGGTGAGGAGGGGGAGTTGGACAGCGCTGGCCTCCACGTGGCTGGAGTCGGGGAAACTGGCTAGGCCTGCAGGGCTCCCTTCTGGATGTCAGCCTGTTTCTTCCCAGGTGCAGACATGCCTGCAGCAGTTCACGGTGACGGTGGCACAGCTCCAGCAGATCCGGACCAGCCTCCTAGGCTCCATGGAGCAGGCACTGATGGGGCAGAATGACCCTGCCCCTGCTGTCCGGATGCTGCCCACGTATGTGGGCTCCACCCCACATGGCACCGGTGAGTGGCCAGGCCTGGAAGAGGGGTGCTGGTTTGGGGAGGGGAGTCCCTTATTCCTGTCACCATTCCTAAGGCCCCCTGACCAGACTTTGCAGTCATGGGAGTGTTTCTAAGAGGCAGTGGCTCTGCATGCCTTTCTGTGATCTGCTTCTCCCCAGAGCAGGGAGACTTTGTGGTGCTGGAGCTGGGGGCCACAGGGGCCTCGGTGCGTGTGCTGTGGGTGACTCTGACGGGCACTGAGGGGCACAGGGTGGAGCCCAGGAGCCAGGAGTTTGTGATCCCCCCAGAGGTGATGCTGGGCCCTGGCAAGCAGGTGAGCATTTCCCAGCCTAGACTCTGGGGCCTGGGGCTGGGGTTGGGGGAGGACACACAATGGCAGAGCTGAGCACCCATGTGTCCTTCAGCTCTTTGACTTTGCCGCCTGCTGCCTGACCAAGTTCCTGGAGGCACTCCCCGTGAGCAACCAGTGTCTGCCGCTTGGGTTCAGCTTCTCCTTCCCCTGTCACCAGACGGGCCTGGACAGGGTGAGGTGGAGAGGGCACAGGGCAATGGGTGGAAGGGGACACAGCCCCAGGAAGACTTTTGGAGGAGTTACTCGGCTTCTCTGCCCCCAGAGCATCCTCATTTCCTGGACTAAGGGCTTTAGATGCAGTGATGTGGAAGGCCAGGACGTAGTCCAGTTGCTGAGAGATGCCATCGAGAGGCAAGGGGTGAGTGGGCAGGTACGCTGGGAGGGCTGCCCACGTGGTCAGGTCCCGGGCCTGGGGCACACAGGCTGAGTCCGTGCTTCTGGGAGTGCCCGTTCCAACACTGACCCTCACCCTGCGCAGCAGCTTCCTCCTCTGTTCATACCGTTTATCCAGTTTAACCCTGGGGAGAAGTTGGCACTATTTCCATTTTATAGGTAAGGAAACTGAGGCTAAAAACCAGTTGCTGTGGAGTCAGCCCTGACTCATAGTGACCCCATGTGTGTGTCAGAGTAGAATGTGCTCCATAGGGTTTTCAATGGCTGATTTTTTTGAAATAGATCACCTGGCCTTTCTTCTGAGGCACCTCTGTGTGGATTTGAACCTCCAGACTTTTGGTTAGCAGCTAAATGTGTTAACCATTTGTACGACCCAAAGACTCCAAACTGAGACTAAGAAAGGTCAAATAAATGTTCGGGATCCTAGGGAGAAGCAAAGATGAAAAGACTTTAGCCCTGTCCTCCAGAATCTCCCAGTCTAGTGGGGACAGCATTCCCATATAAGTTTGTCACTGTTGAGTGACTGTGGGGGCACTGGGGAGGGAACCCCTGCTACCTAGGCAGAGGCTTGAAGGAGAAGTTTGCTGGGTGCATGAGCTGGGGCAGGACAGGGTGATCTGGTTTCAAGAACAGCACATGAAAAAAGAGGCTGGATGCTTGAGAAAGCCAGACCTGCCTGGGCTGGCTGTGAGCAGAGGTGAGAGTCAGGGCTCAGAAGGTGGGACTTGGGGAGCCAGGCCAGGCAGAGGGCAAAGCCAGTGAATGCCTCAGGTCAGTGAATGCTCAAGTTCGGCCCTGTGGGGAACACTGTTGCTCTGAAGTGATAGCTGAGGCTGGGAGCCACAGGACCCCTGAGAGCCTGAGTTCAGGAGGGAAGAGCAAAGGTGGGTGTGGGAGAGAGGAACACCCTTAGGGTGGGGCCTAGAATATATGTGAGACAGAAAAGTGTGGGCCACATGCACAGCTGTCTCATGGGCCTGGGCGTCTCTGTCACACTGGGCAGTCCTGCCTCACCCATCCCCCAGACCCCGGCCTCTGCCCTCTCCATTGTGCAGGCCCCAAGCCTCAACGTAGTTGCTGTGGTGAACGACACGGTGGGAACCATGATGGGCTGTGACCCGGAGCTTGGGCCGTGTGAAATCGGGCTCCTTGTAGGTGAGCGGGGCCATTCGTGAAGGTGGGCAGGGGCAGCGAGGGTGGCTGTTTGGCGAGCAAGCTCTGACTGGGTTGCCTCTGCCAGACCTTGGCACCAAGGCCTGTTACATGGAGGAGACGAAGCATGTGGCAGTGCTGGGTGAGGACCTGGGCAGTGTCTGCGTCAGTATCGAGTGGGGCTCTTTCTGCGATGATGAAGCCCTGGGGCCGGTGCTGACCTCCTTTGACCATGCCCTGGACCAGGAGTCCCTGGATCCTGGTGCCCAGAGGTGAACTGGAGAGACCTTGCCTTTCTGCTCTGGGCCCCCCCACTGCTCTGCTCCTCAGTCCTGGGCTCTGCCTGTCCCCCTGTGTTCAGGCCCTTAGCCCTCTGCCTCGCTCTAAGGGTCTCCAGGGTGCTCCCTGGGGGCCCTGGCTGGGCTCTAGGAAGGAAGGGCTCAAGGTTCTAGAACCCTGAGTCCTCAATCCTTGACCTCCCCCCACTGCCTTTTACTCTGGCTGGCGCTGGCAGGAGTTGGGGGCTGGGGGGTAACTGAACAAAGTATCCCCTGCCTTCCTTTGGGTCCTACTGCTCCTCCAGGAGGCCCCTGAACCTAACTCAGTCCAGGGGGGCAGCAGGGTCTGGTCAGGCACCCACTTGCCTCCTGGGAGGCTGTTTGCTTCTGGAGCCTCCTGTCTGGAGACCCCTCAGAAAATGAACCCTTTGTGGGGGCCTTTGAAGGCTGGGCCTGGTGGGTTGAGGGCTTAGGAAAGGCTCTGTTCTGCTGTCCTTCACACCTCCAGGTTTGAGAAGATGATTGGGGGCCTGCACCTGGGCGAGCTGGTGCGACTGGTGCTGGTTGACCTGGCCCAGCGTGGGCTCCTCTTTGGAGGATGCACCTCCCCTGCCCTTCTGAGTCAAGGCAGCGTGGCCCTGGAGCACGTGGCCGAGATGGAGGAGTGAGTAGGGAGCAGGGGTCTTGGGCCAGGCCCAGTGTTCTGTCCCCAAAGTAGCCATGGGCTTCTGTTGGGGGTGGAAACTGGGAAGTTCTGGGGTACCGAGCCCCAAACCAGCACCCTATTCCTCCCCAGCCCTTCAGCCGGGACAGCCAGAGTCCTTGCCGTCCTGCAGAACTTGGGCCTGAGTCCAGAGGCCTCGGACGTGGAGCTCGTGCAGCGCGTGTGCGCGGCTGTGACCACGCGAGCCGCTCGCCTCTGCGCCGCCGCCTTGGCTGCCATCCTCGGCCGCCTACAGCACAGCCGGGAGGAGCATGCACTCCAGATCGCCGTGGCCACCGGAGGCCGAGTATTTGAGCGACATCCCAGGTATTGTGAATGCGCAGTCCTTTGTGAGCAGGTGGCGTGAGTGTGCGTGTGTGGTGACACACACATGAAGGCTCCCCTATGTACCACACCTACGTGCGCTTGTGAAGGCCCGGGGTACAAATGGCACCCAAGTGGAGGAGAGTCTGAGGAGGCGATGGGCAGCCAGAGAGGCTGAAGGAGGAGCTGTTGCTTCCCTCTGTGTGTTCACGGAAGGGGCTGTGTGTGGTTGGTGCCCTGAACGGCCTTGGGATGGAACTGGTTTGCAGTGATACGCTTGGGGGTCGGAGTGGTGGTGTCAAGCCGGTGCGCCCATGTGTCTGCAGTTTCCTCGGCCTCCTGAAGGAGACAGTGATGCTTCTGGCCCCTGAGTGTGGTGTCTCTTTCATCCCTTCTGTGGATGGTGGCGGCCGGGGTGTGGCAGTGGTGACCGCCGTGGTTACCCGCCTGGCCACCAACCGGCGCCTGCTGGAGGAGACACTGGTGCCGTTCCGGCTAGACCGGGAGCAACTGGCAGCAGTGCAGGTCCAGATGCAGGAGGCCATGGCCAAGGGGCTCCGTGGGGAGGCCTCCTCCCTGCGCATGCTGCCCACCTACGTCCGTGCCGTACCTGACGGCAGCGGTAAGACCTGGTTGAGTGTGGGGCTGGGACATGGGCCCCTGGGGGTTCCAGCGTGTGACCAGCTTTGTCCTGGCACTGAGGGTCTCTGGCCCACAGAGCGTGGGGACTTCCTGGCCCTGGACCTGGGGGGCACCAACTTCCGGGTCCTCCTGGTGCGTGTGGCCGCTACAGGCGTGCAGATCACCAGCGAGGTCTACACCATCCCTGAGCTCATGGCCCAGGGCCCTGGGCAGCAGGTACCTACAGCCCGGGCCTGACATTGGGGTGGGGGATGGCTAGGCGGGGCCCAGTGCCTGACCCAGCCACCCCTGCAGCTCTTCGACCACATTGTGGACTGCATCGTGGACTTTCAGCAGAAGAAGGGCCTGGTTGGGCAGAGCCTCCCCCTGGGCTTCACCTTCTCCTTCCCATGCAGGCAGCTCGGCCTGGACCAGGTGAGGGAGGGGAGGCCCAGGAAAGTGATTCCCAAGGCCTCCCTTAATGGACTGGGCAGGAGGCCAGGAGAGGGGTGTGAGCAGCCTGGGCTGGGGGGTGGGGCGGACAGAGGCACTGCTGGGCTTCACTTGCATTTGGCTTCAGTGTCCCCAGGTGGAGGGTACATGATAAAATGGCCCAGAGTCCAGGGCCATGAAGAAGTCTGGGGTGGAAAAGGACATGATGCCCACAGGGGCCACAAATGAGCAAGAGAGTAGAGCCAGGACGCAGGGTGGGGACACTTGGTCTCAAGGCAGGCAAGACACGGGGCTGAGAGAGGGCAAGGTGACCATCCTAGGCATAGCATGGTGCCCTGGCCTGTGCCCTGTGGGGCGTGGTGCTGGCTGTGTGTCTAGAGGGGTCAACACAGGCCTGGCTCCGCATTGGGTATCCGATTAGGGCAGCAGAGCAGCAGGCAGAGGTCTGAGTGCAGCACTCCCTCAGCGCACACCTGTGTATGATAAATTCTCAGTAGGCACGCGTGGGGGCTACAATACAGACCTAGCAGGACTCTCCTTCTCCCTTCCCAGTTTCTTCCTGGACACCCATCCATTGCCTTCTGAGACCCCTGTGGTCACTGGGCAGCTCTAACCATCTGGACACCACCCACCTTTGGGCAGTGTCCACTGTCTGACCCTGTGCCCACCTCTCTGACCTGGGACTACTCTGAGCTTTCTCTGACACGGTGGTCCTTTGGGTCATGCAGTTGGCTCACTCTTTTTGATTAGTCCTTGTAAGGTGCGAAAAGCAGGTGCAACTTGGGGTACAGAGCCAGGTGTGCACGAAGCACAGCTTCATTCATTTTCCTGTAACTAAACTTAATCCCCATGTTGAGCCCCAGGTTTTGGAGGGGTGATGACTTAATGTTGATCCATTCAGGGACCCCCTTCCCAGCTAGGTGCTCTTCTGGGATACCACCTGGGCCCCTCTCAGCTGCATAGCATCCTGCTGCTGTATACAGCATGCGGACACGTGGGAACAAGGGAGATGGCCCGGGTCCCAGCTGTCTGGATTCCTCTGTGCCACTTTCTCTCTCAGGTCTTCACACCTCTTTGGGCATTACCTGGAGAAGGTGGGCAGAGGCCTCTTCTGCTCTCAGACCACGAAAATCTCTCTGCCTCCTCCCCATACTGGGGCTCAGCCTAGGGTGGGAGGGCACAGGACATCTTCTTGGTGGCCTCCACAAACCTGGCTCTGGCTTTCCCTCCACCTCCCCTTCCCCAGACTGGGCTGTCTTTATCTTGTCTGGGAGCAGACAGCTCTGCTACTCCTCGTGATCTGGCCTCCCCCAGACTGGCTCTCCCCTCATCCTCTCACTCCCTCTGGTTTTTGTGTTTGAGACAATGAGCTCAGAACACCTTAAAAACAAAAAAAAAGACCCATTGCCATTGAGTCAATTCTGACTCGTGGTGACCTTATAAGACAGAGTAGAACTGCCGCATAGGGTTTCCAAGGAGCAGCTGGTGGATTCAAACTGCTGACATTTTGGTTGCAGTCAAACGCTTAACCACTGTGCCACCAAGTCTCCATAGAACACCTTAGTTGCTGCTAAAACAGAAAAAGGGGTACTAGGAAATATCATTGGGGAAACACGTTGATTAATATTTCTAAAATATCCTGCCCCAAAGATGTCCAGACCTCCTCCCCAGCTCCTGCTTGGGGCAGAGCAGTCACTTTCTACTAATGGCCGTGGAACTGTTCCACTCTGCTGCCCTTCCCTCAGAGGAAGCATGCCAATAAAAGACCATTCCTAAGTGCAGTCACACCCTTTGTTGCTAAGCTCACTATTTAAGCTCAATTTCCTACAATAGAGACTCATCGGTCTTGCCCCCTATTCTGCCCAGGTGACTGGGTTCTGGCATTCCCACTTGTCATACACTCGTCTCTGGAACACAAGAGCTAAGTTCCCATGATCGAGGCTCTGTTCCCAACTCCGTGCATTCCCGCCTCTCAAGTGACTCTCCCCAGCTGTTTCTGCAAGAGCGAAATCTGCTGTCATTGGGACCTCTGAGCCTTCTCTGTCCTCTCTTCTCAAACACACAACACTCACTTTCCCGGCTGTGTTCATTCCTAACCCAAATACGCAGGGCCATTCTATCTGGGCAAACGTCTTAAACCCTCAGACCACCTGAGCATCCTGGAACTGATAATAGAAGGCTCGGCTGGTGCTTATTAATAGGTTTCTCCACACTGAAAGTCTCCTGGGGAAAGGGAAAGGGACAGAAGGCAGGCCTTGGACCATATGGCAAAGCAGGCTTTGGGGAGGCAGAGCGAGCTTCCACTGCTGTAAGGGGCCTCCAGCTTCCTGTCCTTCTCTGTCCCACCCCAGGGCATCCTCCTGAACTGGACCAAGGGTTTCAGCGCGTCAGACTGTGTGGGCCAAGACGTCGTGGCTCTGTTGCGGGAAGCCATTAGGCGCAGACAAGTAGAAGCCTGCCTCCATGGGTCCCTGGGCAGGGGGGCTGTGGCAGGCCTTGGGGGGGAAGCAAAGGGTCTCCCGCTTCCTGAGAGGGGGCCCCTCTGCAGTAGAGACCTTTGGGTCCAACGCCGGTTGCCATGACAACCACGTTGCCCAGCAACTAGCAGCATCTTTTCGTGTGCAGGCAGTGGAGCTGAATGTGGTTGCCATTGTCAATGACACGGTGGGGACCATGATGTCCTGTGGCTATAAAGACCCCCGTTGTGAGGTTGGCCTCATCGTCGGTAAGGAGGGGCCCTGCTCTTTTGTGCCCCTACCGCCTGTTAGTTCACTGCCCGATGTTGAGTCCTCAGGGTGGTTGTCCGCTGGTGTTGGGGATGTGGGATCATTCCTATGTGATTCAGTGGGGCCCTGGAAAGTACAACTGGGCCGGGAGTCTGGAACTTGGGATTCTAGCCCAGCTCAGCCACTGACTCACAGTCAGTTAAACTCTCTGAGCCTCAGTTTGTCCATCTGTAAAATGAACCTGAGCTTTGGAGTCATACAAATTTGAATGGAAATACATTGCCATTTCTGTCTGTATGGAGTCCCTGGGTGGTGCAAATGGTTAATGCACTCAGCTGCTAATAGAAAGGTTAGAGGTTCGAGTCCACCCTGTAGCACCTTGGAAGAAGTGCCTGGCAATCTACTTCTGAAAAATCAGCCATTGAAAAACCTTATGGAGCACAGTTGTACTCTGACGCACATGAGGTGGCCATGGGTCAGAATTGGCTGGACAGCAACTGGTAGGGTTTTTTCCCTATCTGTATGACCTTGGGCACATCACTAGAGCCTGTTTCCTCATCTCTAAGATAGACATAACGATAAAGCCTGTCTTAAGGGATCGTGAGGATGAGTGAGAGGGGTAAATGTCATGTGTGCCTGGCTCAGGGCATGCACTCCAAGTTTGGGACTGAGTGGGGGCCAGGCAATGAACTGGGAAGGCTTAGACGCTCCAAGGTTTAAGTCTTTATTAAGCACGTACGCTGTGGCCAGCTGTGGGCTGGATGAAGGGGCAGGAAAACATGTAAAAGAAGGGGAATCTTTGCCTTCTTGGAACTGACTGCCCAGCAGGGAGCTGAGCCCAGAGCAGCAGGTGGCAGTTAGAGAGAGGTGACCCTGACTCTAAACAGGGTGGCTGGATTCCGACAGGGCCAAGATCAGGAAGGAAGCAGTCCAGGGATGAAGGGGACTTAACAAAGCCTGGAAAGAAAGGGTTTGGCTCGGCGGGGGAGCAGAGCTCCCCACAACTCCTTCAATGTGGGTGTCTTAGAACATGAGGCACATAGTGGCCCCCCAGTGACCTGGCACGGGGCAGGCAGTCAGCAAACCCACACCCAGATCTCCATGTGCATAAATAACAGATGGATGGATTCCAGGTGGGGCCAGCAAGGAGGCCACCTGCCTAGAACTGAACATGTGTTGGGAAGAGGAAGGAGACACGTTTACCCAGGGTGGGCCTACTGCCTGGAGTGTCTTTTCCTTTCTGTGCTTCTTGACATCAAGGCCCTATTCAAATATCACCTCCTCTCCAGAGTTTTCTCGACCCTCTGGGCTTCCCTGTGCTCTTCTTTGTGCTTCTCCCAGGGCCCATGCAGGTGGCAGCAAAGCTGGCTGTTCACTGCCCATCCTCTGGCCAGACCGTAGGGCTCCTTGCAGCTCATTTCTCACTAGGTTCCCAGCTCCTGGCCCAGCACCTCTGAGCTTGAGGACCTGGGAGGCCATTCCCGGGAGCTGGGGCTTCTCACTGCAGACAGTGGAGAGCTGTCATGCTTCCAGGGGAATGACATAACTGAGGGGGCATTCTAGAAAGAACATTCTGGGCTAGCATGGCAGAGGCACTAATGGCAGGGCGTCGGGAAGGAAGGAGGACCAGGACCAGATAGGTGACAAGTGGTGAGTGTGGGCAGATGGAGCGGTCAGGAAAGAGGCCCAGCTGTGCTGTCTGGGAGTGGGAAGAGCTCAGAGGGGCCTGGTCCCTGCCAGTGAATGGGTCTCATGCGGTCTGGCCTCTGCAGGAACAGGCACCAATGCCTGCTACATGGAGGAGCTCCAGAATGTGGCGGGCGTGGATGGGGACTCTGGCCACATGTGCATCAACATGGAGTGGGGCGCCTTTGGGGATGACGGCACGCTGGGTGTGCTCAGCACCCACTTTGACGCTAGTGTGGATGGGGCGTCCATCAACCCTGGCAGGCAGAGGTGGGCTGGGCCCAGGCAGTCGGGGCTGGTGGCGGCCGGCACTGGCAGCAGATTAAGTGATGAAGTCCCCTGCCCTGTGTGTGCACACTCACACGTTTACACAGATTTGAGAAGCTGATCAGCGGCATGTATTTGGGGGAGATTGTCTGCCACATCCTGTTGCATTTGACCCGTCTTGGCGTGCTGTTCCAGGGCCAGCAGACCCAGCAACTACAGGCCAGAGGCATCTTTAAGACCAAGTTTCTATCTCAGATTGAAAGGTGCCTGTGGCGTACATCCACCTCCCCTGCTTCCCAAAAGAGCCTATCTCCATAGTGGATGGAGTGCTGGGGGTGGGGGGTGGAGGCGCCCTGGAGGATGGAGATGTGAGAGGAGTCATAGTGGGGGCTGCTAATGCAGGACCCCACCTCTCTGCCTTCCACCCTGTCTGCTCCCCAGCGACAGCCCGGCCCTGCGGAAGGTCCGAGACATCCTGCAGGGTCTGGGGCTGTCCCTGACCTCAGATGACGCCCTGATAGTCCGAGAGGTGTGCCAGGCAGTGTCCCGGAGGGCCGCCCAGCTCTGTGGGGCAGGCGTGGCTGCTGTGGTGGAGAAGATCCGTGAGAACCGGGGCCTGGAGGAGCTGACAGTGACCGTAGGAGTGGACGGGACCCTCTACAAGCTGCACCCCCAGTGAGTGTGGGAGCCTGGGCTGGGCAGGGAGGCAGGGCCAGCTGGCCTAGGCTCACGCCAGCCTCCATCCTCTCAGCTTCTCCCGCCTGGTGGAGGCCACCGTGCGGGACCTGGCCCCTCGCTGTAAGGTCACCTTCCGGCAGTCGGAGGATGGCTCTGGCAAAGGTGCAGCCTTGGTCACTGCTGTTGCCTGCCGCCTGGCCCAGACACCCCGAATCTGAGGACGTCTCCAGGAGCCACGATGTCTCAGCCTCAGCCTTGCTGCACCAGAGCCTGGGCCTAGCCTGCCCCCACACCCCAGGACCCCCAGAACAGCCCATGCATGACCCCTTGGTGGCCACCCAGCTTTGGCCCCTGCTTTCCCCAAGAGAAGTGGCACTCGGGTTAGCAATATATAATTTATTTACATTCATGTCCGCTAAAATCCCTACGCGCCCTGGCTGCCGGGCAAGGCTGTGTACATAAGGCCAAGTGTAAGTGCGTGAATGCACTTAAGACGAGTCAGGACACAAACTTCACATGGCGGCCCGCATGGGGCTCAGCCAGCCCCGGGACAGCACGCCTGGCATGCACACTCGCCATTGCCCAGCACGGGGCTCCCATTGCATATTCACATGCCCCGCCAGGCAGGGCACCTCGAGGCTGGGGCCTAGGTCAAGGACTGGGGTTGAGGGAGAGCTGCCCGGTGTCCCTGGTGGGTGGGAGCAGGGCAGCATGTGAGAGGCAGATGTGTACGAACACTGGGGGGTGTGAGGGACTTGGGCGAGACCCTGGTGCACAGGCATGAGATGTGACGGTGGTAGAGGGCGTCTGCACAATGGAGGTGGGTGTGTGTGTGATGGGCGCACAAGCTGGGCGTGTGCATGTGCCCGCGTGTGGTCGTGTGCCTGAGTCCAGAGGCCTCTCCTGCCCGCCTGGCCGTGCCCTTGGTCCCACAGGGTTACAGTGGGCCCCTCAGACGTGCTCCTACCCAGCAGGCATAGAAACGTTTGCATAAGGTCCAGCTCAGGCAGGAGGGGGGATGTGGCCCGAGCCCAGCGTGTGCGTGCATGTCCGTGTGCATGCGGGGCCCTGGCCAGGGGCAGGAGGAGAGGTAGCATCACACACACAGACACACACACGAATGGGCTGGGCCTGGCCTGGCTCTGGGCACTGTCTCCCCGGACCCCAGGGGCTGGAGCAGAGTCAGAGCAGGTGGCAGTGCCAGCCTGGCCAGGCAGGCCATAGAGGGTGGGAACGTGGGCAGGGTCTGAAGGACTGGCGTTAAGGGACGGCATCAGCCAGGAGGAGGCCTGTCCACAAAGCTCTCCCTGGGGTGGGGGAAGGGCCCCCGCCCGGCATCTGTCTGTCCCTAGCGGGTGCCAAAGCTGGTGAGAATGTAGGCGTTGGGGGCCCAGTGGCCTCAGCACTCGGCCTCCGACACCGTGAAGAGGCCAGAGTCTGGCTGGCCCAGTCCGGCCACGGCCGCGGCCAGCTGGCTGAGGTTGCCGTTGGGAAAGTGCCGTGCCTCCCACAGGTTGAGGATCATGGCTGTGGGGCTGGGCTTGGAGGCAAAGAAGCTGAGATGGCTGTGGAGGGAGGAGAGACTGTCAGCAGCCCAGCCTCAGCCCTGGCTAGCTGTCTCCTGCAACACTCCGTCCCTCCCCCTCCCGCGCACCAAGGGCAGGACTTCCCTTCTGCCAAGCACTAGGGCTGCTGGTGGACAAGGCCAGGGCCCCCAGGGTCTGGAAAGGAGCCTGGACTTCCTGTCTATTCACCCTCCCACCCTGCCTGCCCAGTTGGACTGCAGTCGGCCCTTGAAGCCCCGCCTTTCCCTGCCCATCCCCCAGCCACCTGTCCAGGTGGAGTTTCTGGGCCAGAGTTCGCCAGTCGGCACCCCGGCTGCAGGGCGGGTCTAGGCTGGTAATGATCTTCTGCCGAATGAGGAAGGGGATCTTGAAGGCACTGGGGCCCACCAGGGCTGGGACCCCCCCTTCACTCTCCAGAGCCAGCAGCTCAGCAAACCTTGTGTCCTGGGGAAGGGAGAGGTGGAGGGACTGTTAGAACTTTGGAGGGCCCAGGCCCACTGCCGCCTCCTGATGGGGTGCTCCCAGGAGGGGGCCTGGCGCCTCTTGAGCCCCACGGTGCCCCAGATGCCTGGCTCCCTCTGACTCAGAGGTGCAGTGACTTGCCCGAGTCACACACCAGTAGCCCCACCGTCCACCCCTCCAGCCCTCCTCTGCCTGGCCACTGCTGACCCTCACTGCTCTCTGCTCATTGCCTTTGTCCTGCCCGCTTATGGTCCCTCACTGCTGCCTGCCAAAGTCCTACTCATCCTTCCAGGCTGAGTATAAGGTCCCTGCTCAGGGAAGCCCTCCAGGCCCCCAGGCAGGCTCCGTCTCCCTGCCCCCACTCCTTGCCCCGCCATCCTTTTCAACTGCCCTCCCAAGTCTGATTGCATTTGCTTGTATTTGCAACAAACTCTCCCCCAGGAGACTCAGAGTGGCTACCAAGGGCTTCCCAAGAGGAGGTGGGCATTCTAGGGGGTGGGAGAACTTACATAGCAGTGCTGAAGCCCCTTCCTGCCCACCTTGGTGATGTTGAAGTTGATGTTGAAGCTCTGCCCATCGCCCTCCACCTGCCACACCCACACCTTGCAGGCCAGGTCACTGGTGCTGGGGCTGATGCGCTCCAAGGTGAAGGTGCAGTGCAGGTACTGCTGTGTGCCGTTCCAGATGTGATGAAAGGGGATCTCCTGGGGGCGAGGGGCAGAGGGGAGGCACCTCGTCAGATGTGCTCAGCCCAGGTGTGCCTAGCCCCAGGCAGCTAAGTGCTGGCCTGCAGACCTGGCCCTCACCTGGTAGCTGACGAGCAGCTTGCTCTTCCACAGGGAGCTGGGCACATCATGGACGGACAGGCGCAGGTTGTGGTAACTGTCCTTGAAGTGCAGGACCCGGGGCTCCTGGATCAGCTGGCCCCCCAGCTGCTTCTCCAGCTGCACCACCTCCTGCAGTGCCCAGGCAGGTCAACTGCATCTGGGGGGCCCCTCCCACCACCTACCTATCCGCTTGGCAAGGAGGCCTCCATGCTTAGGAACCCGGGGTGGTCAGCCACAGTTCAAGGCCCAGCACAGGCCCCAGTGGCAGGGCCAGTGGGGTAGCAGTACCTTGAGGGCGTCGTGGGTGTCATGCAGACAATAGACCCGGATGTTGTACTCAAGCGAGGTGCAGGCCACGGGTGCGAACAGGAGCAGCCTGAGGCGCTTGGCTGCGGCCACGCTGAGGGCCTCTCCAACCAGGGCGAAGCGGCCCAGCTGCTCAGTGAAGATGTAGCAGGCGCCAGCCTCTAGCTGGCAGTAGTAGAGGTGGGAGGGCGCCTCCTCGCCCAGGTGCAGCACGTCCTGCAGGCAGGCCCCACAGTCAGTACAGCCCAGCCTCCCAGCCCTCAGGCCACTGCGCTTTGAGAAGTGGCCAAGAGACTCAGGGGAGCAGGGGTGGCTTAAGGCTGCATGGCAGCATCTCCACGTGGAAGCCAGTGCTGGGGGTGCTGTGGGCTTGGGGACTCCCCCAGCTCACCTCCCAGCTGCCCTCGCATGACTGCTTCTTGAGGCGCAGGCTCCAGCTCTCGGGGCTGGGCTCCCCACAGTGGTCCATGGCAAGGATGACGGGCCGCGTGAGCAGGACTCCGGGGGGCCCGCAGCTAACGATGGGACTCAGCAGGGTCTGACAGCCAGCTAGGGGCAACCTCAAGTAGGGAAACAAGCGCCGGAAGGGAGAGGTGTCAGCAGGCCGTCCTGGGGCTGGGGCCTGGGGGGCAGGACAGAGCATCCCATGGTGGGGGCCTGTGGAGCTGGATGGGCCTTGGGGTGGAACTTAGGGTTCCCCTTGGGAGTGGTTCTTCCCCTGCCCTTCCTTCAGGCCAGACCAGGCAGCAGTGGTGGTGGGGAGGAGGCGTTACGGTGATGGAAGGCAGAAGGTGGGACCAGGGCAACCCTCCACCCTGCGCAGCAGGGCCCGTGCCCACACCTCACATCCTCGGGCTTGTGCAGCGTGAGGTAGATCTCGTAGATCTTCCCCCGGGGTATGGCATCTGGGGGGATGAGGAGGCTGATCCCTGAAGCAAGACAGGGGAACCAGGACTTACCTGCTGCAAAGATATCACACACCCCTACCCACCCGTGCCAGCCTACCCTGGGGACAGAGGAGCCACAGGGACTACCATGCTGTCCAACCAGCCCACATTGACCAAGCAGCTCCCCCACCACAGGCATGACGCTGGGTCGCAGGGACCCCAAGAGTGGCTGAGGAAACTCAGGGGAAAAGCATACCTAGTTAGCTTAAGCACAGAAAAATTCTGGAAAAAATGGTGCCAGGTATGCTGCACCTACCTCCATTGTCACACAGGAGGCACTGGGTGTGACCTCCTTATGACTCTTCACTGCCTCCCGGGAAAGTCCAGTTCCCTGGCCTGGCACGTGAGGCCCATCACCTCTGGCCCCAACTACCTTCGAGCCCAGACTCTGCTGAATTCTCAGCCATTCCAGACCCACTGCTCAGAACACGCCTCCATCTGTCTGGGTGGTCTGCCCCCTACCCTGCTCAAAGTCCTCCTTCCCCATCGGTGGCCACCTCTGGGAGCTCCTTGCTGCTTTGTGTAATTTTGTTCCCTGCTGAGCAGTGGGCTCCCTGCAGTGGGGATGGGCCTTTAACGGTGCTTCTCAATTTGGTAGCCCTCCCTGGTCTGGGAGCCGTTTCAGACACTCTCTTGTTTGGGCTAATTCATCTCTGCCCCCCGCTGGGGTGGATTATCCAACAGGCAAGGTAAGCATGGTGCTTACCGTGCTTACCAGATCATCTATAGTGTACAATTTCATATTTTTTCACCATGTCAAAGATTCTGCTTCTAGGTATAGCTGGCTTCTGTCTCTCTCCCAATACCACAGCACCTTCCTACAGAATCAAAGCCTCTTTTCAAATTTACAATACCTGACAGGGCTGGATGACCCAGTAAGCAAGGTAAGCACGGGCTGACTTGTACTTACTTATTAATCTGTTGTGAACAATTTCACAGGGGCCCCTGGTCCCCAGCATCTTTCGGAGCCTGGCGCAGGGCCATGTCAGAAAGCGTCTGCTGAGGGAGAGTGACTCCAGGGAAGAGGCAGTGAGTCAGAACTCAGCAAGCACAAGGCTGGGGAGTTATCCCAGGGGTGGCGAGGAGTAGTCCTGCTCCTGACTTCCCTTTTAGGACAGTGTTGTGTCCCCCCAGTAGTTATGCTGAAGTCCTAACCCCTGTACCTGTGAACACAACCTTGTTGGGAAATAGGGTTTTTGAAGATGTTATCAGTTAAATTAACGTGAGGTCACACTGGAGTAGGGTAAATCCTTATAAAAGAGAAGAGACGCAGAGACACAGGGAGGATGACGGCCATGTGAAGACAGAGGCAGAGATGGAGTTATGCTGCAGCTGCAAGCCAAGGAATGCCTGGGGATCCCAGAAGCTGGGAGAGACAAGAAAGCATCTTTCCCTAGAGCCTTCAAAGAGAGCATAGCCCGGCTGACACCCTGAATTCAGGTTCCAGCCTCCAGAACTGTGAGACAATAAATTCCTGTTCTTCTAAGTTACCTAGTTTGTGGTACTTTGTTACGGCAGTTCTAAGACACCAGTACAGGCAGGGGACCCCTACATCGGGAGGGGCCTTGGAGGCTCAGGATGGGGGAGTGGGAGACATTCTGTGCTTCCACCCCACCAAGTCCAATATCATATGCATAATCTCCAGAGCGGAAAACCCTGGAGACGGTCTGGGCTGGAATACCACTATGTCACAGGAAACTGAGCCCAGGAGAGGGAAGCCATTGATTCACGGCTTCTGCTCCCCTCGCTCACCGCACTGCCTCCTGGTTCCAGCTGCTAATGTTGGTGCTGATCCCAGCCATTCGTGTGTAAGTTTTATCAGTGGCAGTGGTGGAGGGACACACATGAATACTAACACGAGTACTCTGGAAGTCAACGCACCCTGCGCCCGTGAAGCTCTCAGCCCAGTGGGGATAAAGACAAATTCATTGCAGCAAGGGGAATGCGAGCTGGGGGAGAGAGCTCAAAGGGGTGGCAGCCACCCAGCTGGGAACACAGAGTACCTGCTGTGTCCCTGCCCCTCTTCTCAGAGCTTTATATGTACCACCTCTTTTCAGCTTCCTAACAGCCCTGTGAGGGGTCCCTTATCACCCTCACTTGCAGAGGGCCGGTAGGGACAGAGAGGATGAGCTGTCTAGCCGAAGACTTGAAGGGGAAACCAAGATCTGCCAAGTGCAAGCAGAGATGGGGCAGAGGGATTTGCATGCAATGGTGTTATGAATTGAATTATGTTCCCCTAAAATAAGTGTTGGAATCCTAACCCTTACACCTCTGGATATGATCTAATGTAGTGTAATGTAATCACTTTCCATAATGCAATCTAATGTAATGTAGTCAATCAGTTGAGGTCATACTAATGTAGAGTGGATCCTAAACCTAATCACTTCTGAGTTATATAAACAGCAGCATAGACATAGAGACACACATACACAAGGGAAGACAGATGCCATGTGAGACTCCTCTACAAGCCAAGGAACCAAGGAATACCCAGGGCTACTGACAAGGAGGGAACTGACATAGCCAAGACCCTATTTGGACTTTTAGCCTCCAGAACTGTGAGAAGATAAATTTCTGTTCTTTAAAGCCACCCACTTGTGGTATTTGTATTATATCAGCACTAGGTAACTGAGACAAAAGGGTTGGGGGCAAAGGGTGGCATGCTGTGTTTAGGGTGCTGAGCCAATCCTGGCTGTACATGCAGAAAAGGGCATGGGGACAAAACTAGACATGGCAAAAAGATCCGAGGTTGTCAAGGGCTCAGGGAGGGGGAGGGATCAACAAGTGGAACGCAGGGCATTTTTAGGGCCGTGAAACTATTCTGTATGATACTGTCACGGCAGACACATGACATTATGCTTTTGTCAAAGCCCATAAGACTGTACAACACACAGAGTGAACCCTAATGTAAACTAGGGACTTTAGTTAATAATCATGTATCAATATTGGTTCATCAGCTGTAACAAATATACCACAGGAATGCAAGATATGAATAATAGGAGAAACATTGTGTATGTATGGGGTAGGATGGGGTAGATGGGAACGCTGTGCTTTGTGTGCAATTTTTCTATAAACCTAAAACTATTAAAAATATTAAGTCTATTAAAAAAACAAAACAAAAACAAAAAACAAGCGTGCACAAGAGAAAGAGCCCGCAGCAGCCAGCAGGAGATGAGCCATGGTACAGACTCAAGCAGGGGAGGGGCACGATCAACTCCAGCTTCTGTGAGGTGAATGTTTGGAACCGGGGAACTGGGCAAGAGGTGGGGGTGGCCCTGGCCAGGAGAGAGGCCCTGGGGAGAGGAGCAGCAGAACTGCAGGGGCTGTTTAGGAGGAAGAACGACAAAGCTTGGCGTTTGACTGAAGCTGGTGTGGGGGGCAAGTGGGCAAGTGAGGAGGAGCAGGAGGTCAAGGTGACCCCAAGTTTCTGGCTTGAGCAACTAGACTGAGATACCCCTGAGCTGGGGAAAACCGGGAGGAGGTGGTTCTGGGGGAGGGTGGGAGACAGTTCTGTTTTAGGCACGAGGAATTTGAGGTGCTATGAGATAGGCAGATGGAGCTGCCCAGGAGGTGGCGTACGTACCCTGCCTGGGAAGCTGCCCGCTGGGAGTGGAGGAGTGGGGCAGGGATTTAGGCCCTGTCTGTGGGTGAGGTCGCTGGGGAGGAAGGGGCTAGGGGGGAGCTCCGAGGAGCACCTACATTTAGGGAACAGCTGCCAGGAGCAGCTGGAAAATCAGGAGCCTAGAGGCCACCGAAGCCGAGGGGATCGAAAATTTCAGGGTGGGAGTGGCCAGCCACACCAGCAGCTGTGTGCTTTCTCTCAAGATGACCACCGAAAGGGTTGTGGATTTACTAACATGGTGTCTTGGGGATCCTGGCACATGGTTTCCAAGTAATGGTGCTGGGAAACCAGGATGCATGGGTAGAGGGTGCCCCATGGCCCCCAAGGGCCCCTTTGTGGCAGCACTTGCTGTTCTGCAGCTTTCCATGAGTGCGTCAGTTCCTTGGGGCCTGGGCCTGCTGCACCTCTGGGCCCCAGAGCCCAGCAGACCGTGGCACAAAGACCAGCTGTCTGTGTACACAAAACGACGGTACTTCTGTGTCCTCAGGCCACAAATGGGAGACAGCTCCAGTACAGCGACCCTGCCAGCCACTCCCCAGGTTCTCTGCAATTCCACCCTCTTTTCTTGCTGGCCTTGTCCTGGCTTGGCTCCTTGTGGGGAGGCTGAGGGGCACAGGGGACCCTCTGGGCTGTGCTGTCCTCCTCCAAAAAGGAAATGGAAGCTGGTTTTGCCTCTCTGACCTCCCCGGGGCCCTCTGGGGCTCTTCCTACCTGTGTTCGGGACCATTAGCCTGCCCCCAAGGAAGTTGAAGGTCCCGTAGGCCATGTTGCTGGTGCCTCGGGGCAGGGAGCGGAAATAGTTCTGGGTGGAGAGGCGGGAGACGAAGTCCTCGGCCTCGGAGGTGGGCGAGCTGTGGTGCAGCGTGTGGCGGCCACCACCCAGTGGGCTGAGCAGGTGCCCATTGGAGAGCTGGAACTTGGGGCTGGGCCCGTCCTGCCGGGGACACAGGCTGCCCTGGTAGGTGGTGGTGGTGGTGCTGAGGTCGGGCTGGATGGTGAGCAGATGGGGGTTGTCTGCAAGGACCAGGACACACTCAGGGTAGGGTCCTCAAGTGCCTCCCTGCCTGTCGGCCCTTGGCTGGGGGCCTGGAGGGGGAATTGTTGAGGGCAGGGAGGCTGCACCTGCTTTGCTGGGCTTGATGCTGACGGGCTGGAAGCCTGAGGTGAGGATGGATGAGTCGGCCACGTCTGAGTCCAGTCCCTCCTTCTTGCGGCAATAAACCAGGATGAGGACGAGCAGCAGCAGAACCAGGCACACGGCCACCGCTATGAGGCCCACATACAGGGCCATGTCCTCGGGGCCGGAGGCAGCTGAGGGAGAGAGGTAGCTTTTGGAGGGGCAGGGGGCAGGACTAGCCACTCAACTGCAGGAGGTTTGGAAGGAGGGGCCGGTGGTCTGCACCCCAGAGGAAGGGGTCTATACTCCTTGATGAGTTAGCCATCACTGGGCAAGGGACATTTGCTGGGGAAATGTGGCCCAGGGCATGGAGCCAGCAAGTGCAGATCCAATTTCTGGACCTGCCACTACCTTGCTGTGTGCCTTTGAGCAAACTATATCCCCTCAAGGCCTTGGGATCCAGGCTGAGGTTGGTACCAGGAGAATGGAGGAGGGGGAGAGCTACTTCCCCAGGGGCACCAACTGGGGCTGGGAGTGAGCTCCTGGGACGCCCAGAGCGACCCCTCCCTGGGCGGGCCTGCCCATCTGGTGTCCGGTAGGTCCCTGGGCCAGGGCGGGGAGGGGGTGATTGACTGCTTGGAGGGAGCTATGTCGATTTTTAGAAAGGGTTTTGCATAATGGAAAAGATGTCTATCAGAAAGGAATTGACACCGATAATTAGGTTTTTAATTGAAAGAATGGGGGAGGGTGTGTTCTAGAGAAAAATTCCAACTGAGATCTTTAGTTGTTAGTTATGGCCTTGTAATTAACAGGCCTTACAAGCCTCGCATCCCCATAGGACTTGTGGGTGCTGGGGGTGGTGGGAATGAAGCTGCAGGAGAGGAGGGGGCCAAGGTAGGTGGATGGGGCTGGGGGGTTTGGGTCCATGTGGGCAGATAGGTATGTATGAGTAAGGTTCCAATGTGGGCTTTTCTCAGGAGAGGCGGTTGGGTGGTGGGAGATATTGGGACACTTTGTGTGCACAAGTGTGGGTGTGTTAGGGGTGAAGGGGATCCCCGAGCACCCTGTGCTTTGGAGAGGAGGTGCAGCCTAGGCAAGGGAATGACTCCATAGTCACTATCTGCCCAGGGTGTGGGCAGTGAGAAGCTGGGAGCCCAAGGGGGCAGGGGCAACACTGGCCAACTGTGGGAAGGACCCTGAGGGGGTGGGGAGGACTCACTGTGCACACAGAGGTCACTGGTACAATTGCGGGTGTCTAGGTCAGCACCTGGGCACTCCTCGCCTCCGTTTCGGGGTGCGGGGTCAGAGCACTCACGGCTTCGCCAGTGGGTGCAGTCAAGCCCGCAGGCTGACCACTTGCTCCATGGGCTCCAGCTGCCGTCCACTGCACATGAGACATAGACACAGAAACAGAGGGGATGGCACAGTCAGCTAGAGGGGCCAACCCAGGCTGTCTGTGCTGCGGCCCTGCTGGTTGTCAGGAGCGCGCAGGACGAGCTGGCCAGGCTCTGGGGTGCCAACTCAGGCCTAGGCCCACCAGTGTGCACCTGGCTGGTATCCAGCTGGCCTGGATGATGCATGCTAATGATGGGGGAGGCACAGATGACACCAGGTGCTGCTTGCTTTGCCCACACCAGGGAGGCTGTCCGTTCCCGGGCTGAGAGGGCTCTTGGGCACATGATGACCCTTATGAGCCCAGGCCCAGGCTGGATCCTGTAGCCTCAGGCTGAGCCCTGCCCTGCCCCACGCCAAGTCCTAGTCCCTGCCCTCCGACTACAGCCCAACCTATGTTGAGATCCTGCATTGCAGGCTGAGTCCCGACCCTGGACACAGACCGAGCCCTGACTCAACTACAGGATAGACCTGATCTTAGCCTCAGACAGTCTGGCCCTGGGTGCAGGTGGGTGGGATGGAGCCATGGGTGGGCAGGCTGGTGGCAAGATGGAGCCGGGCACGGAGATGGCGTAGTGAGAGCGATGCAGGGCGGCGGCCACTGGTACCTGGGCACAAGGTGGCGCAGGCTGTTTTCTGGACATTCTGCCCCTCACAGAAGGCGCCCCCGTTGAGAGGTGCCGGGTTGGTGCAGCTCCGGCTCCGTTTCTGCCAGCCACGCCCACAGCTGGCGCTGCAGACGGACCACTCGGTCCACGTTGACCACCCACCATTCACTGGCCGGACAGAGAAGGACTGGGGTCAGGGAGCAGGGGCATCCTTGGACATGCTGGCCTGGGGGCAGGGCATGGAGGGCAGGGGCTCTGGGCAGCGGCCGGGGGCCTGGTGGGCTGCTGCTGTGCCAGGAGAGGAGCCTGGAGGGGAGGTCACTCTCATGCCTGCTGGCTCTAGGGGGTGGCAACACCCACTTGGCCGTCCTTCCTTCTTCCAGCATTGTGAGAGCTCAGGGCAGCCAGAATGCTCCACCAGTCCAGCCTCCAGCTCTGGCACATCAGCCCAGCCTTTCCTGGGTGTGACTCTGTTCCCTCCCTCTGCCTGCTCCTGGGGGTGTCCTGGACCCCTTGACTACTTCCCACCCCTGGTGACACAGGGTGTGGTCTGCCATCCTTTCTAGACTCCCATCCTGTCCCCTCATGCGCCCTCTGCACAATGTCCCCTGCCCATAGCACCAACCTTCTAGAAAGCCAAGAAATGATCTGGCCAGAGACATCCACTACCCTGCCCAGCATGCCCCTGGGCCCCGCAGCCCTGCCAGCCCTTTCCCTGGTTCCACAATCGGGCCTGGCTCCATGGTCTCCCCATGGCCCCCAGCCACATACTACCCTGCCCCCGTGGCCACTCATGACGACTGGGGACCCCCCAACCTGCCCACTGGCACCCAAGCCCACCATAGACGATGACAGCTGCAGAGGCACTGCGGCGGCGCGCCACGATGTTCTTGGCCACGCAAGTGTAGTTGGCCGTGTCGGCCAGGCGGGCCTGCCGCACCACCAGACTGTGCTCCCGTGTGATGTACACGTTGGGGTCCAGTGCTGGGTCCACCAGGTCCTCATTCCGGAGCCACTCCACCTGAGGAAGGGAGCCAGGTCACTGCAATGCCATCCAAAGCGAGTGGGTGGGGCTGGGCAGATGAGATCCCGCTCACCTGTCGGGTGGGCACTGAGCCCAGCTCTCACCTGCGCTGGGGGGATGCCTTCCGGTGGGCGGCACGGCAGCACGATGCCCTGCTCCAGGGACACCTCCTTGGCCAGCGGCTCCTGCTCGAAGTTCTTGCGCAAGTCTAGGGGAAGAGCCAGAGTGCCCCTGTCCCAGTGCCTCGGGCCATGGCCCAGACCGGTCGGCTCTGTCCAGGATGGAGGAAGTGCCGGGTGCTCAGGAGGGCATGAGGGGGCCGGGCAGCATCCATGGGCACTTTGTCCAGCCACCAAGCCAGGACCGTGGGGTTAGTGATCAGACCTCTTCCTCCAGTATGAAACACCCCCCTCCAGCTGACAACCCCACCCCAGTACTCACAGGCGATGCGGATGTAGGCCTTCTGGCTCTTGGTGGTGCCCGAGGAGCTCCAGGCCACGCACTGGCACCAGTACTCCTCCAGCCCGAACACCTTCTCCACCTGCTGCCGTGACACGTTGATGTGCACCTCCATGGCCGGCAGCCCTGGCGAGAAGACAGGGTAGCCAGCGCCCCGGCCACGTGGCCTCGCCCAGGCCCACCATCCAGGGTGTGGGGACCCCTGCACTGTGACCACTCCGGCTGTGGTCATTGGGGTATCCCTCAGCCCGGAGGGGACTCCAGAAGCTCTGGGTCGGGGGGACTCGGGGGCTTCCTGTAACTTCCACTCATACATTTTATTACCGGAAGCCGTCTCCCTGGAGTCACTAACCGGGCTTTGCGCGGTTGTCTCAGAGACAACGGCCCAGCCGAGCTTTGGGCCACAGGACTCTGGCCTCAAGGACCCCAGGCACAGTGGGCAGGGCAGCCGGGCTGAGCCCTGGGGCTCTGTAGGTGAAAGAAGGGTGAGGAAGGATCTGGCACACTTCCCCTCAGGGGTTAGCAGGTAGCTCCTGACATCTGATAATATAATAACAGCCATTAATACTACAATTATAGCGATTATGGAGTATAATGATAGACCCCTGGGACTTGGTGAGGCTGGTTATCTTATTAAACCCACTGCCTTGGGTGGGTGTTGCTCCCACTCTGTGGATGATGAAACAGAGGCTCAGAGAGGAGGATGAGTTGTTATCTGCACCCAGGGCTGTCTGAATCCAGTGTGCTCAGGGTGCTCTGCAGTCACCTGGGGTGGGGGTGTGCATTACATAGGGAGAGCTGCAGGAAGAAGGCAAGGGGGTGGGAGATCCTACTTGAGGCTGCCATTCCCAACGCAGAGAGAGGGGCCATGCCCGGAGGGTCCAGCCCCTCCTGCGGACCTACAAGGGTGATGCCGGCCCTCCTCCAGCCACCTGGCCGGCAGCCAAAACCAGTGTCCCCTGGAGTAAGAAAAGACTGTTTCTAATTTCTCCTCCCTCTGACCTCAATTTCCCTCGGGTCACTGGCTTATCAGAAAGAGGGAGAGAGGCCAGGCTGCCAATGTGTTTCCATTGTTAACAGAGAAATTCAATTAGGGCTGCAGTGTGGGGCCCAGCAGGCCCAGCTGAGCTGTGGTGGGGTGACTCTTTCCCTCTTAATTTCTGTACCATGTCTTTCTCTGACCCCTTCCCAGACCACTCCTCACGAGTCTCTCCACTCTCCCATTGGGCCCCAGTTCTTCCATCATTTAGCCTTGCCCCCCTCCCGGCCTGTCCTTACAGGAGATGGGGTGTCACCACGGTTGAGGTCACTCTAGCTGGACTATGTTCCTGGTCTGGGTACCGCCTGTCTCCCAGCTTCTCCCACCCTGCCTGCCCTATTCTATAAGACATTGGGTGTATAGGTTCTCTAGGGCTGGGGTGGGGGCTGAAAACCAAGGGGGGCCCACACAGGGACCAATGTATACAAGAGGCGCCCTGGGTGCCAGCTACCCCTGGGGTCAGGCGCACTGCATCTGGGGCATCTGAGAAAGAGCTGGACCCAAACCCTTGGCTGGAGACAGGGTTCCTTCAACCCCCTCCTGCTGCTCTCAGCCTCTGGGGTTAGGGCCAGGAGATCTTCAGAACATTCCTACCTGGGTAATTTTCCTCCTCTGGGTGGACACGTGGATGGATGGCCCCCTTGGCACCCTCACACCCACTCAAGAACCTCAGGCCAACTTGGGGAGAACAGCACTAAAATTAAGCGCTCCTATTTCTTTCTCCCTTTCTCCCCCCACCCTTCTGTCCTGTCACCTCCTTTTCTCCTTCCCGCTGCCAGGAATGAGGGCCAAGTCAGTCTGCGATGTCCTAGCTCCAGGCAGCGCCTCTCTGCTGCTAGGGAAGGCCTGAGCCCCCTAAGTAGGGCGGTGGGCCGAGGGGAGGCCCCGGCCCTGCCTGGGTCCTGTAGGAGACTCAGTGGTCTCATTCCTGGGAGCAGAGTGTCTGGGCTTGGCTGTATCTGCACCTGCCTAGGGCAGATGCCAGCCTTGGGGAGGGGCAGGGAGGAAGGAGGATGGGTCCCGGAGTGTGGGGGGCATGCACAAATGCAGGTGGGGGCCCCCAGTGTGGGGACATGCTGGGGGGACTTCTTAACCAACAGGGGCCAGTGGATGATGGAGGGCTGGTTGGGGGCTCCAAGTGCAAGCTGGGCTGTAGGTTCCCACCTTCTCACTTATCTGCTTCTAATAACCAATGTGTTTGTTTAACAATAAATTATCCTCCCAACCCGACTCCCCATGCTAAGTTTAGCAAAATCTCAGGCTCTGGCAGTGTCAGCAAGTTTAGGTTCCAGCCCTATAGGCTTTGGTCCCCACCTGGCCTTCTGATGGGGAATGAGGATGAATGAGGGTAAGGCTGTAGATCTGGGTTGACCTCTGATCCCCACCATGCCTGTCTGACCACAGACATTTCCAGTTCAGGGTATCTGATCTGGGTATCTGTGTGGCGCCACCACCTTGGGATCTGTTGTGGGTAAGAAAGGAAGCACTCAATGGCTTTGGGTTGGGAGATCAACAGGATCAATGAAAATTCAGACGCGCTCGCTATGGTAGGTGTGCGGTTGGGTGCTCAGGGCAGGAGAGAGCAAGTGGTTATGGGGTGGGACAGGCTTGCTTGGAGCAAAGCTGTGTGGGCCTGTGGGGGAGTGTGATGTGGCTCTTGGGGCCCTGGTGTGCCCACCAGGTCTGTGAATACTCATCCAGGCAAGGGGCCGGAGTCTTACCCAAGTCACAAATTCGAGACCTCATGATGGCAGGAGTGTTTCAGACAGGGAGGGCTGTGTGTGTGTGTCTGTCTGTCTGGAAGGGTAGACAGTATGTTCTGGAGGCAGGGGACAGCAGGGGTTGGACTGGAGCCTTCCAGGAGGTTCTAGGGCAGGCCGTCAAGGCTGCAGGAAGGCAAGTCCCTGGCTGTGGCTCCCTCCTCAGGACCTGCCCTCTCCCTGGGCGACCTGCTGCAACCACGGGAGGAATCCTCATGCTGCAAAGTGGCGCTGGCCCAAGAGTGGCGGGAAGGGAAACGCCTCGAGGAGTTGGGCCCCTGGCTGGGTGTGTGACATTGCACAGCTTCCCCCTACCGACCTGCAAAAGGGCTCTTTGCTCCCATTTTACAGATGAGGGAACTGAGGCACAGGGAGGGGAGGGGATCATTTGCAGTTCTGCAGCAGGTCCTCCCACTGGGACAATGTGGGTGCTGATTGACCTTGGGCCCTAAAGCTGCCCCTGTGGACAGCGAGGCCCCAGGCACCTCTGCCCGGCGGGGGTGTTGATGGTGCCCAGAACTCTCTTGAGCTGCAGAGGCCACCAACCCTCTCTGTCCCCTTCCTGAGGGCAGGAGGCAGGGCTGGCCCACTTGCCCCGAGAGACTGGGGACTCAATTCCTAGTACCTAACCCAGTGGGCCTGGAGTCCCTGGGTGGTACAAACTGTTAACACACTCATTGCTAACCAAAAGGTTGGAAGTTTGAGTCCACCCAGAGGCACTTCGGAAGAAAGTCCTGGCAATCTGCTTCTGAAAAATCAGCCATTGAAAACTGTATGGAGCACAGTTCTGACACACATGGAGTCGTTGTGGGTTGGAATGGGCTTGACGGCAACTGGTAACTGGTGGAACCCAGTGCCTGGCACAGAACAGGTGCTCACCAACATCCGAGGCCTGCATGAATGAAGCCGCAGCCAGCAGGCAGGGGCAAGGCCACGGTACGAACAGGGCTCAGGGCTGGACGGGGCCACTAACCCCGGGATGGGGGTAGGGAAAGCCCCGTTGGCTTCTGGTTGTGGGCTGAGCTGATGCTTGGTGGAAGGAGGCCAGGCCCTGCCCACCCTGGTGGGGGAAGGATGGAAGTGACTTCCGGTAGATCAGAAGACCTGGTTGGAGCCCTGCTCAGCTTGGAGCCCTGGACACGACAGAGCCCAGGCCTCAATCTCATCTGTGACATGACAAGCAGGTTTCAAGGACCAACTTGAACATTGCCTACATTCAGGGCTCTTCAGCTTCCATCTGGATTATTGCAAGAGCTTCCAGACAGTTCTTTCTGGCCAGGGTCTCTCCTCCTCCAGTCTTCCCTCTGCCCAGCATGGTCTTCCCACTGTTAGAGGCTGACCATAGCCCTCTCTGCCTGACACCCTCCACGGGCCACTTGGAGTAGCCTCCTGGTCACTGCCGCTGCCCAGGCTCACCTCTCCCACACCCCAAGCTCCGGCTCTCTGAGGGCCTCCTGGCCAGTGCTTCTGTGCCTTGCCTTCCTTTGGCCTGGGAAATGCTCTCCCCAGCTAGTTTTAAGATCCGAGCGTGGATGTTAGCCCTCCTCTGGGAACCCTTCTGGGGCCATCCCTAGCCCCTCCTGCCAGAGGGGGCCCCTGGCCTGCCCTCAGCATGGGGAGAGGGGGCCCTGGGTGCCACCCACCTGCTCCCAGCTGCACTGTGCTGGGTCTCACCTCGGTAGCCCGTGTACCCACTTACGGGGCATGTGTGCTGTGTGTCTCGGTGGGAAGGTGCTTGGTACTAAACCTAAGGGCTAATGGTATGGGGAGCCCACAAAGCACCAAAGGAGAAAGGAGAGGAAATGAGCTTAACTGGGTAAACTAGTGAGCAGGGGCAGGTTACCGAACAAGCAAGGTAAGCATGGGCTATCCTTGTGCTTATTTACTAATCTGTAGTGAACAATTTCACATGGGTTTCACCACATCTTTGCTTGGTGAAAAAATGTGTAATTGTTCACTGCAGATGATCTGGTAAGCAAGGTAAGCATTGTACTTACCTTCCCTATTGGATAATCCACCCCTGCGTGAGGGGGAGCCCTGGTGGCGCAATGCTGGGCTGCTAACCAAAAGGTCAGCAGTGGTTCGAACCCACCAGCAGCTCCACGATCTGCTCCTGTAAAGATGACAAACTAGAAAACCCTATGGTGGCAGTTCTACTCTGTCCTAGAGGCTAGAGGGTTGCTTTGAGTGGAAACAACTTGACAATAACAACGACCATTAGTGAGGGGGCGAGGCTGCCGTCAGCTCCTGCCTTGCTCTCTGCTGGGCCTGCTTCTGGGGAGCTGTGGGACACACCCAGGGCTCTGTCCATGCCTGTATGCCCACCTGCTGCCCGAGACCAGGGCTGGTGGGTGATGGATATCCATGAAAGGGGCATTCCTGGGCTGCCCTCTGCCCCCTGCAATCCTCCCTCCACCCTCAGCAGAACTCCCTCTCCTCAGTGTCTCTGGGTGGGCTCCTCCCATCAGCCCCCCACACTGGCATGTGAGGATCACCCATAGCTCTAGCCATGTCACTCACTCTGCAGCTCAAAATCCCATGGGACAGTGACATCTCCAGAGACTGGTGAGTGAGGCCCCGGGTGGCACCACTGTCCCAGCATACATCCTTTTGGCCTTGCTTTTGATGTATCCCTGCCTGGACACTCCTTCCCTCTCCTCTCCCTGAACAATCCTCTGCCTCCATCAGTTACATGTCACCTCCACTGAAGCCCCCCAGGGTGCCCCAGGCAGCTCAGCCCTGCTCTCCTCTCACTGGCACAGCCCTTGGAACTCACTGAGTGGTCAGCCCATGCCATCCGCCTCCCCGGGAGCAGAGTTCTCTGAGGGTGGGGCTGTGTCCCCAGCAAGGGAGTAGGTACTCAATAAAGAGTGTTGAGGGAACACGTGTGTGAATGAATGAATATGCGAACGAACGCATGCAAAAGAAAACAAGCACAGAATTTTAGCTCTGTAAGCTCTTTGATCCTCTGGGACCCATTCACTCCAAACTCCCTTTCTTTGCTGGGATGGCTCAGCAAGGCTCAGACTCAGCTGTGGGCACTTGCTGCTCAGCCTCCTACTTCTGTGGAGCCTGAGGGCAGTGGCCGGGCTTCATGTCCCCTTTTACAGCTCCTGGGACATTTGGAGGAACTTCTCTCTTTCTCACTCCCCTACTAAACTGAGCTCAGACTGTGATGAGGGGCAAGGGCCCTGGGGAAGGCCTCTATGTATACACATGGGGTCCTCGGTGTGGGAATCCTGCCTGGTGACCTGGGGTGGAGCTGTGGACCTAGGAGGTCCAAGGCCGTTGGGGTGGTGGGCACAGAGCTTGTTCCGTCCTGGCCATGTCAATGAGAGGCGTGCAACTTGGGGTGGTCGTGGCCCGTTTACCCCGAGGCCCAGCCAGCTGCCTGGCCTGTCCGCCCATCTCACCACTGCTTCCGTCTGTGCTGCGCTCGATCACGTGGTCCACCTGGCGCACCCACTCCCCGTTGCACTTGAAGAAGATCTGCGTGGCGGGCGTGGCCTTGCACACCAGCAACACTGGCTTGTTCTTGACAATGTACACGTCCTCGGGCTCCACCAGAAAGTGGGGGAGCAGGTCGGGGTTGGCGCCGGGCACCGGGTTGGGCACTGGGTTAGCCACCGTGGCACTCTGCTGGCCACCTGGATTGGGCAGAGGAGGAAGGTGAGTGGGCCTCTGGGGCCAGGGGCGATGGGGAGCAGCTGGTGTGTGGGCGGGGCCAGTGACAGGAGAGTGAGTCCAGAATGCCCCTGAGCTTCAGTTTCTTCCTCTGTAAAATGGAGCAAGACGAAGTCCACTCACTTCTGAAGACTGAGGTGGGTGGCTTAACTGAGGCTATGCCGCCAGTTCCAGCACATAGTAGGCCCTCAACCCATGCAGCGGCAGGGGCACGTTACTACCCTAGTACCAGTGTTACTGCTATCCTAGTAGAGATTCAAGGTCCCTGGGTGGTGCAAATGGTTAAGCAACCAACTACTAACCAAAAGGTTGGTGGATCAAATTCAAATCCACCTAGGGTACCTTGGAAGAAAGGCCTGGTGATCTATTTCTGAAAGATCACAGTCATTGAAAACCCTATGGTGCACAGTTCTACTCTGATATACATGAGGTTGCCATGAGTTTGAATCAACTCGAAGGTAACTAGTTTAGTTTTTTGTTTTTTTTTTGTTGTCATTGTTAGAGGTTCCGGGATCTGGTGAGCCATATTCAGTCTGGGGCAGCTGGCAGGGAGTGGAGAGGACCCAGCAGTTCGGGGGGGCAGCTGGCATGGGGCAGGGGCTTCTTCCTCTGTTTCCTCTGCCTGGGGCTGCCTCTGGGGTCCACTTTCTGTTTGGTCCCCATTCCCTGCCCCTGCACATAGCAGGTGCTCAGGAAATACCGAATGAATGAAGGGGGTGTGTGGCCCGGGTGCAGTGCGAGGGGCCACCGGAGGGGTGCTGGGTGGCACTGCTAGAAGAGAGAGGCTTGGGGTTGGGGGGAGGACAGGGTATGGGAAGGGGCTGGCGGGGCTGGGTGCTGGGTGAGCATAGGTCAGTGGGAGCCAGGAGAGTCTGTCTGGGAGCCTGAGGGGGCCTGGGTCCAGTCCCCACCCTTTCAAGGAGAGGGGAACGGGTTTCCTTATAATTTCAACTGAAAACCACGACCATCCCACAAGTCATTGGCTGCTAATTACACAGGTAATTGGTTCTGAGGCATGGCGGAGGTAAAACCCTCAGAGCAGTCTGACCCGTCTGTTCTGACCAGGGCCCCTGGGAGGGTAGGGGGAGCACCCTCAGTCTTGCCCTGCCCTCACTGCCTACTAAACAGGTTGGTGGCCTTTCCTTCCCTCAGGGCTTCGTCAACTCCCCCCACCAACCACATTCCGGGCATAAAGAGGGAAGAGCTTCAGGAAAGCCATTCTGCTCCTTGCTAATGGGGACCTTGGGCAAGCTGCTGCTTTTGCCATCTCACCTTCACCCTGTGAAATGGAGGTGGCATCTGCCCCGGGGCAGAGCCCCGGGGGCCTCCTGTGGTCTGTTCCTGAAGCTCCCCACCCACCCAGGGAACACCTGTGTCTAGGGCCGGTCGTCCCCTTCTCGCCTGTAAGCACAGGGCTGTGGGTAGGAACCTCTCCTTCCCAGGGGTGCGCATATGTCTGTGCCTGGTCCTGTATGTGTTCTGGGGCCGGCTCAGGGCGGACATGGTGGGTGACCTAAGAATAGCCGGCCGAAGGGCTGAATATCTGGTGCCACTTCAGGAATGCCCCTCTCCAGTAAAGTGGAGAGACGGTGCTCAGTTCTTGGGTAGATGTGGGTTGGGGGGGGCGGTAAGGACTGAATGGGAAAGGGGGGAAGCATGTACTGCAGTACAGGCTAGCCGCTGCCAGGACCCAGGGGTTTGCATTTACAATGCAAGGCATCACTGCCTTCAGCTCAGGGACCCTCGTAGCTATCTCTCCGTGGGAAGGGTTGTCATTCTGTTTCGATGACAGGGACAGGTGACTTGCCCAAAGCCCCAAGGTCACTCAGCCCAGAATGGAACATGAATTTGCCAAACTCCATGTCCAGTGCTTGATCTCTGGGCCGCCGAAGCCAGCTCCCCTCCCTGGCATGTGTGTGGGCACAGCTGAGGGCACCATCTCCACGGGGTCAGCCCCCAGGCTCTGGAAGTCCCTGCCTCAGACGGTTACTTGGCTGCCCACTGGATTGGCTTTCACAGCCCAAGGGATGGAGGGAGGCCTGGCCAAGCAAGGGGATAGCTGCCATGCCCTTGTGGGGTCAGAGGCACACAGCAGTGGCTTCCGTGCTTCTCCTGTGGGGACACAGTGGGGACAGTGGGGGGGGGCATTTCTGACACAGCAGGGCAGTGTGTCGGCATCAGGTCAGCCACCCCTCCTCTGGCCTCCCTGTCCCTCCTTCCTCATCTCACCCACCCCTCCTCCCACCCCCTGCCCTTCCCCCTGGCCTTTCTGCCCCCGGCCCCCTGACCAGACTCTGGCCTCTCCCCAGCTTGTTGTTCTCCTTCTTGTGACCTCTCTCTGGTAGCCGAGCCCCCTGTATGTTCCTGTGGCTCCAGGAACAGAGGCCAGGCTGCCTGTAACCATGCGTGCAGTTGGGAAGAGGAAGCTCACCCTTCCCCAAACCACCTGTCCTGAACCCTTCCACCTGGCTCTGCCAGTGCCCTTCTCTGGGTCAGAAGGGTGGGGATCAGGCAGAGGGGAATAGCCATCTAGACATCTTACGGAGACTCCAAGGCCTGAGAGGAAGTCACTTACTCAAGGCCCCCAGCTCTGACCCTGGACTCAGTGTCCAGTGGGGGCCCTGCGTGACCCTTTTTTTATTATGTTTGCTCTTCCCTGTTACTCAGCCCCGATTTGTTAGCCCCCTGATCCACACTGCAGGCACAGGGAGGGCTGAGTTCCTCACCTCTGTGTCTGGGGGCCCATGCAGGCCTCCTAGGATTTGTAGAATGAATGGAAGGGGTGGGTCTGGAGAGGCCTGGAGGGCCAATGGCCTCTCTCCACCCTTACCCTGGGAAGCCACAGTACCTCAGCAGGCCCTAGAGTAGAGGCAGGCCCCACTGCCCCCAGCGGCTGGGTCTGGACCTGTCCTGCCTTACTCCACACCTCACCCAGCAGAGGCTTGACACAATGCCCTGTGCCCATCCATTGGGGGGCAGGGGTCCCTGGCTGGTCTGTGGGAGCAGGGAGTGGATGTGCAGCACCCAGTCTCCCTACTGATCACTGCACCAAGCACTGCTTGGTGCACAAGCTCACGTCAGCCGCCCGCTGAACCCAGTGCAATCCCTCATGTCTGCATTTAACTGCTAATGAAAAATAAATGTACTGTGACCAATAAGGGACATAGCTCACTTCTCTGGGGCCTCCGTCACGCCATGCTGGCGAGCCTCCCCTCCCCATCCTGGGGGACACTTACTGGGCGGGCCCAGGGGTGCCCTCTGGGCTACAGCTCTGCCCTCTAGCAAGGACACTCTAAGGCCGAGGGTGGGGTAACTCAGGCCCCACGAGGTGGCCTCTTGAGGCTGAGGGACACTGCCTGGACGGCAGAGCTGTCCTTCCCTCACTCCAGCCCCTGAGCCCACCATGTGACCTCCACCCTAGTGGTCAGCATCTGTGATCCCCCTCCCCACTGTTTCAATCAGATCTCTTGCCTGAATGAAGGCAGGGCAGGAGCCTCGGGTCTCTCCCCCGTCAACAGCACAAGCCACCCTGGGCGGTCTTCCTCTTTTATGTGAATCCTGTGCTTGTTTACTGAAGGTAACACCAAGCAGTGCAGGTTCAGCGCCAAATGACCTATGATCCTTTCAAAAGGGCACGCACGCTCCTGTTCACCACAGTCCCCACCACTCCCTACTGCATCACCATGGGCCTGCTTTTTCTATTTCCATTGTCTGTCTGGCGTCTGCAGGAATTTCAGGGGGGTCAAGCACCTTTGGCTGGCATTCCTGAGCTTCCCGTCCGGCCCAGTCAGCCCTCATCTCCTTCTGCAGAAACACCCATGATCCCTTCTAGGCAATAGCTCCCCCGTCTCCAGGTCTTTGCTCACGTCTGAAACACCTCTCCCCTCCCCTCTACCAGGACTTTCCACCCTTCTCTTCAGGGCCCAGCTCCAATGTCACTTCCCTGGAAAGGGCTCCGTCTCAGTCTCCAAGGACAGACACACCACATTGTTTCACCCTCTCTGCGTTTGTCCTCACGGGTGCTATAGCTCTTCTCACGGGAGAAGAGAGCAGAGAGTTGAGGTGTCTGTCCCCACCACCAGACTGTCCATCCCTGGTCCCTGCCCCCCAGCGCAAGGCTGCCTAGTGCACGTATTAGTGACTGGCACATGGAGGGGGAACCTATTGCTGTGCCCCCAGGCTGCTGAGATGACAGATGTGGTGAGAAAGTGGCACCCAGGGGAATGCACCTTGGCTACAGGTGGCTCCTGGGGCTACAGGAGAGCAGGCAGGTGCAGGTGGATCCCAGGTGGGCACCGGCTACACTGGCCAAACAGGACCTCCCATGCCCACCACCCCACTCACCCATATCCCAGAGGCTGGCCCCCTGCACAGGTGTGGCCAGAGCAGAGTGGGCAATGGGATAATCATAGGAGGCAAATCAGAGAGGAAGCAGGGTGGCATCCTGTGGGCGCCTAGAGCTGGGGAAGATGGGAGTTTATTGGAGGGGCAATGGGGAGCCTTGGAGGGCTGCCTGCAGCAGAGTGATGAGACCATCTGGGTAAGGAATGGTCTGAGGTGGGTGGCAGCAGGGAGACTGATGAGGAGGTTGCTGTGGGAGTCCAGTGGAGTTGACTGTGCTGGCCCGGCTCCACCTGGTCCATCTGGCAGCTCCCATCAGCCTTCACGTTTCAGCAGAGGTGTCGCCTCAAGGAGGCCTTCCTTGTCACTTGTCACTCCTTGTCACTTCCTGTCACTCACCCGCTGTGTGCCCTGAACCTCCCTACAGGGTACATGCCACATCTAGGACTTGGACAGACTTGTTTGCACACTGCCTCCCTGTTAGACCTTTATTACTGGGTCCAGCACCCAGTCCAGGTCTGGCCTGGGTGCTGCTGGGGTATTTGCCGCATGACTGAATGACCACCTTGTCTTCTCCCTTGAATTTCAGAAGACCTGCCCAAGGGTTTCCACTTTGTTTTGT